CTTGCCAGACTGAAAGTATAATAATTTACGCAAAGAATTAAACAGTAGTGCCAAAACAGGATCTGGGACTATTACCAGAAGCTTGTGTTATGGTTCTTTTACTGTCTTGAATATGAAAATATAGTGATCAAGCAAGCGGAAGATAAGTTGAGCAAAAAAGTTTTCTTCTACAGTTGTTTTTGTCCCGCATGGTAGAAGAGTATGAGATGAAGCAGAACATGCGACTTCTCGTAATAAGTGAATGAAGTGCAACATTGACGATAAAATTTCCACTTATTTTTCTGTACCTGGATATAAATGTCCGCCAGTAGAAGCCAACTTCTCTCGAACTCCTCTGCCTCCTAATGAAAAAGTAGGATCAGGGAGACATGAACCCTAATGAACTATGATATGTTAGTTGCTGAACAAATTTATAACCTTAATTTCCCTTATAAGTCTCTTCGAGCTACGTCGGAAACTTAAGTCGGTTAGCTGATGAGTCCAACCACTTTTATTCCATCTTTTGCATTGCGTCATTTGGTAATCGCAGCACCAAACTACCCGGAAGCTGCCTTCTGATTGTTGTAAACTCTACACCCGGGGTCAGTTTTATAAAACCTTTACTAGTGTGATATACAAGTGTAGTTATTGTTTTCAGACTCTAAAACAATGGCCACTCTTGTAAATTACACTTGTAAAAGATCTATAAAATTGAAGCCTGGCCTCTTTTCAAGCATACCCGCTGCGCTTTCCAACCCCGACTGTGTGACGGGCCCAGATAGTGTCTAAGGATACTATACCTCTGAGTTCCAGTTCATCTTGGCGATCCTTTTCAGCTGGTTGCGTGCCCTGGGAGTCTGTTTTAAGTACATGTACGCTGTAGCCATGCCCAACAGAGCTGGTACACAGTCATTCTACAAACGTATGACAGCAATTAATCTTGTTAATAACAAACTATTTACCTTTAGTAGTTAAGGACGAGAAATGTGAGGAGATTAAAACTGAACAGGTACTTTCAGTCTGAAGTTTATAGTTTTTCATTATGAGTAAGGCTACAGTGGTGAGGTGCTGTTACTGGTTGGTTATGTTCCGATTCACAAGGTACAGATAACAATGGGGCGTTAGCCTTTAAACCTTCAAAATTTCTTAAAATGGGCAAGTAAGGAGCTTAAACAACCATTTGACCCACGAAAGGCCTCTTTTTTGAAGATGAATTCTCTCGGACCCTGTCGTACAGACACCTGCTTAAAGGGGGCCATTACGACTCCTGAACGAAGATCATGAGTTTATCCCTATATTAGGATCTCTCCTTAAAGATACACCCAATTGAAATAACGTTGTCTTAGAAAAATGAGAAAAAGGAAAAAGCCAAATAGGAATTAAATAGGCTAATTAAGCCACATTCTCAGGGTGGACTTATTTGCAGCCGTTTTATTTCCCCGCTGCCAGGATTTTTTGTTTTTTTTATTGTCTTTCAGCTTTAAAGCAAAAGCAAATTGAACAGGCAAATCAGTACGACGTCCATGTGCAGATGTTGCAAATAAAATCATTGGACTTATTAGCCTAATTAATCCTATTTGGCTTTTTCTTTTTTCATTTTTCTATGACAAAGTTTTTCCAATTGTGTGTAACCCAATGAACAGTGTCGGATGCAAGTCGGTGGGGAGTTGCTGACTGTTTTTCCTATTCAAACCTTTGCTTTTTTGACGTTCTCGTTGGCCTTGCCAACTGACGGGAACAATGCACATGTGTAGGGCTGGTAATGCATGGGATCGCTATAACAATGTTTTGGGTCGTCGACGATGAGATAATAATGCGTAATACCAAGTTTATCTTAAGCCCCCCTTAACAGCAAAGCTCAAACACGTCTAACACCTGTATTTTAAATAAAACATAAAATTTCTACATGAACCGATTGTAAAATTGGTGTTTCAGTTTTCTGCCGCCGATTTCCATTCTGTTAAACCTAGGTTAATTAAACTTGTTTTGTTGGTTCGAAAAAGGCGTAACCCACAAGCCCTTCTCGTTAAAATCTTGCTATATTACTGCAGGACCCGTGTGTTCAAGTTCATGATGTCCTATGCTGATGACAGCTGTCCATGGCTACTCTCGGGTTCACAGTCACCTTCACTGACAAACCAAGGTAGAGGTGATATTTTCCGAGAGAAAGTTTCCGGAAAACATCTAGATTCGAGGGAGACGAACTTGTGTGATTCACGATGGCCGGTCTATTAAGTGATTTGTTATATAGCACCACAAAATATTACGAGATCCGTCGGTCAACATTCAAGGGAACAGCGTAACGTTACCTTCTGACCTCACGGATTTAGCAACATTGCTCCATTAGACACTTTGGCCGGAAAACTATTCATTGAGATGACATGTGACCTCGAGTTAGGCAATGAAAGCGACCGCTGTAAGAATAAACATTTTAGGTATATGACTGTCAGAGTCTATTATCATAGCTTAGTAGCTATGGCTAATTTTGTCCCCTATTCTAAATACCTCAGTTGTGGCGATTTCCATGAACTGTGCTAAAGCTTTCTCCACGGTAGGTTTAGCCTTGGAAGCCATAAGAACACTGTTTTCAAGGATGCGATACTTTATAGGACTTCCCTTTGGCTTGAAATCCTGTGAGATTAATAATGAATTCATGGTGTTATGGCATAACAAACCGCTTTGCATGGCGGTCAATTGACAATCTCAAGGTTAAACATAGACTTGCGAGAAACTTCTTTAACTTTATGATGCAACGTGGTGAAGAAGTTGATCCGATATTCTTAAGGAGCTACTTTCGCCTCAAAAAAAAATAAACTAAAAGAAACGACCAACAGTTTGAAAAACAAAGAAAAAAGAGTGCTACTCTTTTCGCAGCATTAAGACGGCAAAGACAAACACAAAACAGAGAACAAAGAGAGTAGTCTTCATTTTCTTGATCTCTCATCATCTTTCGCTGTCGAAAAAGACGAACTTCGCATACAAACGCTTCGGTCTCGGGCTAATAGCGGTGGTTCATGATAACCATGAATTCCACACATTTTTTATTTCTTTTTATTTACTCAGACACGAACAAAGACGAAGCCAAAGCAAAAAAAAAAAAGGAGCGAAAAAAAAAAAAAATAACAAATCAATAACACCTTTAGCAGCTTCTCGGCAGTGCGGACAGCCATCATTTCTGAATCCTGTTTCTCGTTTTGGCTGCACAAAAAAAAAATCATAATAATAAAGGAAAAGAAAATGAGATGAAGAGTAAAAGTCGACGATATCGTAGAGGTAGAAATGCTGACGCTGAAGCTCAGTATGATTTGAATAGTAAAAATTACAGTGACCCCGTTGGTTGAAGGCTAAAGACGTTTTCTTTTCTCCGCCACTCGCAAATGTACGTTTTCACTAATACCAGGACGAGGATTAAAGTTTGCAGTTCATTAAAGCGTTTTATTTTAGGCTTCTGCCAATTCTTGCGTATGAATGTTCTACTTCCCATTCAGACTAACGCCTGAGAAAACAGCCGACATTTGGCGACGCTACCAAACAGGATCTGGGTAGTGCTTCTGATTGGTCGTGCCGCGTGGGAAATTGGCTTCAACCAATCAGAAGTACTATCCAGATCTGTTTAGTGACACGTCATCAGTATTGAACCGAATTTCTGCACTCGTTTCGATTCTCAGACGTCATTTCGCAGGGAAACCAGTGGTGGCGTCTTGAAATGTCGGCTGCTTTCTCAACCTCGTTCCCAGGGTTCTCTCCTACCCGCCCTACGGAGCGGGCGAGAGAGAGACCGTGGACCAGCGTTTTCCAGGGTCTCTCTCTCTCTCGCTCCGTAGGGGCGGGTAGGAGAGAACCCTGGGAACGAGGTTGCTGTTTTCTCAGGTTAAGATTAACGCTGTTAAACATCTTTTTAGAGTTTACATTCAGGGTGATTTTGAAAAAGAAAAAAGGATTTTCCCCAGTTTGGCTAACATGAATAACCCAGCTTGTTCAACCATAATCTAGTGTTTCACTGAAGCATCACCGTACTTTTCTTATTAAAAATATAACTCCTTCATAAAATGAACATATTTACCTAACATCTCCATCCACCGCATCAAAAGTTTCTCCTCCCAAAGTCTCGTTATCTGGATTCAGGCAGATCTCGATCATGTTGTACACTGCTTTCTCACCCCTGATAAAATCAACAAATAAATGACGCATTTGGCAACTGACGAAATTATTATTGCAGCTAAGGGGAAGAGAGAACGATGATGATGTTCAACTTTGGAGGTTAACTTGTGCAAAGAGATCGGCTAGTGCCGTTGGAAATATTTAAGAAATCCGTCCCATAGATTACAAAAAGCTAACCTGTTATCGTTATGACAGTCATACCGCGGGAGTCACGCCTAAAAGGTTTGGGCCAGCACTGATTCGAAGAAGCTCAAAAGGCCACTCTTCAGTGCATGAAACACTATTATACGGCTTAACGTCTTTTAATTTTCTCCACTTGTTATTGATTCCACACGAAAAATAAAGAGTGCAAAGCTGTCGCTAAAACCTACCATTCTGAATCTTTCCTTGCAAGATTGAAATGTTTAAGAGCTGCTGTGGGGTTTACCGTGAACCTAAAACAGTTTAATGAAACAAAACGAAAAGAGAAGGCGAAAATTATACGCTAAATTATGACGGCAAAAGGTGAAGATGAAGGCGATGCGACGACGATAACAAAAAACAGCAACTTCAATAATAAGATGCCGCAGTCAAGGAGATTCATTCATAAGAACTTTAAGCTTGAGTATAGGCGAACGAATACGAATACGATAAAGGCATTTCAAGCCAATCATGTTCTCACTTTTGCTCTTTCTTGTTGTTGACCACACAAAACAAAGACACGTTCGGGTGTGACAAGAGATTGTCTAAAGCACCCAATACTTGGTTTGAATACTCGAACTCGTACTCAATCTCGTATTCATAGTCCAGCCTAAGTCCCTAATATTGTTTTGCTAACCCCCACAATTTCCCTTCCCAGATATTACAACCTAGTCAGGAGATCTGTAAAAAGCACCTCACCAATTAAACAATCCTTTACAATAATTCAGTCCAGAGTCAGTGGCTGCGCGAGGGATGGCACTTTCAGCCTATGTAGAGTAAAAAACAAATAAAAATAATAATAATAAATTACTAGTTTAATACAATGGTCACTCTCGCTATTGCTCTGAAAGTTTCTTCTAGTGAAAGTAAAAGAGTGCTTTCGTTTATGAAAAGTAACTAAACTTCTTCATGCGGCTTTGTATGCGAACGCGAGGTAAATAGATGTCAGCGAATTTCGGTTTAATAATTACGCCATCTTGAGACTCTGACCACGAGAACCGATATTCTAATTTTTCTGGCAAATAAAAGGCTTTGGCGGGAACAATTTACATCAGATTACTAATCTACCTAAAAGCTATCTATGGTTCAACCACTGCCACGCAATCAAGGTTCTGCTCGATTTTTCTTAACCGTCGCTCTTAAGCCAGCGGCATTACAAATACCAAACCTACCTGTTCAAGATATTTTGAACACTCGTCTAACTTCCCTGCCCTCCTTAGAAGATTGATAAGCCGAGCCAGTGCACTAAAATGACCTGTAATAATAATAATAACAACAACAAAAACAATAATAATAAAAAAAGAATCGTAACATCAAAATTCGAATAAACTACGAACACCTGAAACATCTTACGCGATGCTTCATGAATACATTGACAAGGCAAAATTGAGGGATCCCTTTATTTAACAGAAAAATGTATATCGTAAGCTAGTCGAAAATGAAAACTGGTCGATGCTTGACTTAAAAGACAGATCCAGGCGACAAAGAACCCACAGAAGGGGGGATCTGGGGTCCTTTACTTCGAATTTCTCATAACCGTAAATCGTCTATTAACTCTATTAAGCCCTCCTCTCAAATAAGCCCCCCCCCCCTTTTCAGGAAAGAAAGTTAATAAGCCCCCCTCCCCTCCCCTTATTATTCTTCACTAATAAATGAGAGACTGTATCGATCAATTACGACTGTAAAACTTCGTGCGGACTAACCTGGGATGGTTTAGTTCGGATTGGATTCTGATCGTCGGCTGTATGACCTAACACTTTTTGTACTTCAGCCTTTCCACTTTGTATTCGAGTTCTTTATGGAGAGCTGATACTATCGACGTTTCTAAATTAAATAAGCCCCCCCTCTCAAATAAACCCCCCGTCTCATTTAAGCTCCCCCCTCAAATGGGCTTGAAAGAAATAAGCCCCCCCCCCCCTCTCGGGGGCTTATTTCTCTTATTAAAATAGAGGATTTACGGTAATTACCAGTTGCAGAAAGCTGTCTTTAGCTAACCGTGTTTAAATTCACAATTGAAACTTTACGGTCCGGTTATTTAAAGGGAGTTTGGCCAGTGTTGACCAAAACCGTGTTCTAAGCCATTTTCAATTTGCTCAACGCTTTACTCTACACACCGGTTATCGTGAACATTTTCAAGAAAGCAACTGCCTAGTCTGAAAGAAACATATATCTTCATAAAATAAACCACTAAGAAAGTGATCTGAAGGTTCAAAGATTTGCTAAACCGCGGCATAAGTTAGGCTGCGTTTAAATAAACGACCCTAATAGTTTTGAAAGTACTACAACAAACTACCAGTTAAAGAAACAATATGGGTTGGTTTCTAAGCTGTAATTAGCACTACCATTCTTATAGAGTTTAACTTTAAAATAGGGCTTCAGGCCCAAAACTTTACCAGAACAGCACGTAAACAGCTCTTGCCCACAAGCAAGAACTCTTTAATCTTTAAACCCCCCACTTTGCAGGAAAAATGGGAAATGGACATTGGTAGCCCGAATTACGTTAACATTCAAACAGGCGTCCGTTTAACCAAACTATGTCATTTTTATGTTTAAATCTGAGACAGCAAGGGAGCTCATCTGTGAACAGCTGATAACTAGACTAACCTGGCTTTCGTTCTAAAAGCTGTTGAAAATGAAATGTAGCAGAATCGTATTCGTTTTTCCTAAACATTAAATCTGCCATCATCTAAAACAAGACAAACGAGAGACGTTTTTAGATAAAACAAGACAATAAAGAGAAACAAGCCATTAATCCGACATGTTCTTTGGTATACAACAACTCTACACAGCACAGCATATTCTACACAGGTAAATGTAATGACTTTAAGACAACGGGGATGGATTACGAATTTTCTTTTCTATTCTTCCTTTTTGAAAAGTCACAACAAATGTAAAGGAGCACGTTAACAATCTTCTTCAAGTTTGTTCATTCCTGCCTCCTTTTGAGTCTGTTTGTTATTTATACCTTCTTTCAATGTTTTGAGCGCTGGTATTTTTTACGCCGATTCACTCAATTTGGTGGCTGTTCCTACTGTTAGAATTTTGACAAACTTCGTGACAAAGCTCCTTTAAATATCGGCCATTTTTGGTATTAAATTTCTCTCGTGCCGCCATTTTGGATTCTTATAAGGTCGCTTGGTAGCCGCTATGTGAAGAATTACCTATAGTCGTTTGTATTTGATAATGGCAGCAACCGAATGATGTAACAAAATGAAAACTGGTGGTACGCAACAGTTAAAAGCAAAAAATCGGTGGTTTCCTTATCAACACTTTTGCTCACTTAAATCTCACTTAATAGAGGGAAAAAAAATGGAATTTTACGTTTCTTTTCGAGCAATTTAAGGTCAGTTTGCAGTAAGAGTGGAGAGTTTCTTTGAAAAAATAGAAACGATTGAGTAAACTGTAACCGTTACGGATATAGAACCATGAATAACGATAGGATGATAAGAAAAATGTTTTTTTAAAAAAATCTCCACTTACGACGGTAGCGTCATCATTTTCCGAGTCCATTTTGAGGAGCTGTACACACTGCTGTTGACAGGCGTCCAGATCATCTACTGTTAGATACATTCTGGCCAGCTGTAACATGGCCTAGAACAACAAACAAAGACATTAGCGACAAGAAGAAAAACTAGAGGTAATCCAGAATAACGCAAATCATATAATTATCGGTCTACTATTATAGGTGACTAATCATTCCTTAATTTTGGCGCAAAATTTCAGCGTTTGTTATATCTGTATTTTTCTTCTTACCGGTAAGTATGTTTCATCATATGTCAATCCTTCCTTGTAAAAGTTAATGGCCTTGGCATAATCTCTGGCAGTGATCGACAGCTCCGCCATTTCTGCACATATTCTGTCAATAAATAATAAACATGATCTGTCTGGGTATTTTCGTATTAAAAGCGAATTTATCGGCGTTTTGCCCATCCACGAGAAAACTAAAACAAACTCAGTTTGTTTTCTTACGCAGAACCAATGAAAGATTTACCACAAATTAGAAGTGTCTTGAATACAAGAATGTCCGCCATACATTGTCCAGATTTTACCAACAGAGTATTATCACACCATTGTTTCGTCTGAATTTAAGGGAAACACTCATGGGTGAAAACTCAACAGAAACGCCATTCAACCGATGTAACTGGAACATTTAGATCGGTGGATGAAGTTCAAAAGTGTAGTCATTTAAAAGAAAGCTACTGAGCAGCACTTTTCTGTGGTGCTGCATAATGGTTCCAAAATATAACACCGAGACTAGAATCTTAACACAAAGCCATTACAAAGATACAAAAACATTCATAAAGCTTAGTGTGTTTAGTGCACAATACAGCTGTTTCTTAAAACTGCGCTATTTCCAGTCTTACTTTGCAGCTTGTAATTTCTGTGCTTTTACAGCATCTGGTTGTTCAACACCAACTCTTCTAAGAACCCTGCAACATAATAACATATTGGTAAGTTTACACTTCAGCATGAAGATAATACCCTGTAACGATTTGGGCCATACAAACAATACCTTACTGGAACGCCACCCCTGCAGTATAAGAAGGCAATGTGACAAGGTATGGTTACTACAGTAAGGGCGCTCTACAAAAGTCAACGGAACTGGTAGGTCAATTTGAAAATGAATTGGGCTTATTTTTTTTTTCCAAACCTTTACTTCTTAAGACCTGGCACTTCTGCGTGCGTGTGTGTGTGTATTTAATAGGAATTGAGTGATCTGACTAGACAGTCCTGATTAACAGCTACATTCTCTTTACGAACACACCGGGTTTCCAGTTCGGTATGCGAGAAAATGAAGTAAGCTCGTTAACACAAGAACGAAAAGGAAGAAAAACAAAGCTGTCCTTCCTCTTCAGTTTGGATTCAAATACGAATTCGAGGACTACTAGACATCTCCCACGAGTCTATACCGGAATGAAACGAGCTTCAGATGCCTTGAAAGTACGCACCAGTCACCTGTATTGCCTCAAAAAAGGAGAAACTAAAACAGCATTGCTCACCTGGTTTGTACTTCTTTCGCTCTGGTCAAGGTTTTCAGAGTTTCTTCAGTGTTCCCGGATCGCTGATAAACTTGCGCCTGAAGCTTCAGAAGTCGAGCCTCTTCCATTAGCGATGGGAGATCATTAGCTACAAAAGCAAAAGGGGACACCATGAAATAATGATGATGATGATGATGATGATGATGATGATGATGATGATGATGATAAAAATAATAGAAACCCTGACATTGATGCAGCACTGGCTGACACATCTTCAGGTGGTATTCTTCAAAATGTCGTTTATCGCACGAATCAATTAGTGCGCGTGCCATTTAAACTGACAAAGAGCATGATACATGTATATTCCCGACAGGATCTCTAAAATACTGAAAACTGTTGAATCTGTTTTATGAGCCACGTGAAACAAGTTTCTTTCCTCCTTCCACTAAGAATCTTTGCAAAAAGTAAGGAATTAGTTTCAAAAGAAACTGTGACACTGTTTGAGGCACAAACATTTGATTTGACCACCACAAAAAAAGATTTAAAAGGTGACGCTTCGAGAGTCAATCTAAATTTTGCAAACAACCAAATTCACAAACGTAAAGCATTTTCTGTGACACAGAAAAAAGAGATAAGAGTCACAAATGATGCAAACACGCAGGCATTCACTAATCTTAAAAGTGATTATTGGGACATATCAACGCTTTTCCACAAAAATAAGAACATGTACAAGACAAGATGAGCAACTGTGTTTTGTTGCATGCAGAAAGGTCCCTTGCTTAATCACTATACCTTTCTCCTGCTCCAAAGCTGACTTGATGACTTTGTCTGCTTTGTCGTAGTTTTTCAACTTAAGATATAACTCAGCCAAGTCGTATCTGAAAAGAAAACTCAGATGTTGAAAGCCGACCATCACGATACAAGGCACAAAACAGAAACGCTCCAAAAAGTACAAACCTTAAAAAGTTTTGCTGTCCCGATTTCAAGGCGGCCTCATAGTAATTGATGGCCTGTAAAAACAGAAAACGTAAAAGGAGGCTTTAAGTTTGAGTTACACTGTAAATATATATAACCGTGAGATGGAGAGGTGGTCCTTTCAGGAGCCGGCGGAGTCGGCCTTATTCAGTACTGCATTGAAAATCCGATAATACACCCACTCAAGGGTAGTTGCGTGAGGACACTAAAAACGCCTGTGTAGCAGACTAAGTCAAGGGTACCAACGAGGCTTTCAAATGGGAAATAATGACTGAGTGTCATTTACGTTTGGGGCATAAGTCATTAATTGGTCAAGCGCGATATTATTGGTCGTCTGTGTCCTATTCAACAACGTTCACCAGGACGACCAAGTCCACTCATGAAACATTGTTGGGCCAACAATGTTGGGACTAGCTGCATCCGTCACTTGCACGGAGCTAAACGTTTGATCAGTTTCAAACTTTGCGCAACTGAACAACTCCCCAAAACACGCAACAGCATGCAACAGGGTGTGCAAACGGACGCAACAAGTAGCATCCAACAATGTTCACAATGTTGGAAGTTCAGTTGTTGTCCACCAATGTTGCGTCCGTTTGCACAGGGCTTTAAACAACAACGACGACCACGGCTATGAAAACGTTACTTAAAAAGCGAATTCCCGCTGCTTCAAACTCTATCGCGCTTATTTTGTTAATAACTTTTCTGGAGATGAATTCAGAAAGACTCTATAGAAGTTCAGGAACAAAAGAAAGTCATTGTTTTGTGCTCACGTCCTCCACAAAACATGAAATTAGGGACTTTGACACCGTAGTCGAGCAGTGACTGCAAAGAAACGTACAAAAAAGCGTGATGCACGTGCAAAGTTGTTGTTTTGCCCATCCAAACCTATTGCTATTGACGTTCTCGTTGAAGTCGCCGTCGTCTTTGCTTAAGGGTCCTTATGTGTATTTAATGACAAGGTGCTTATGTTTACAAAGAAATGATCACTCACTTTGCCGTAATGATGTGTCTTAACCAACGCCTGTCCTATTTTGCTCGCCAGTGCACCGTCCCTGGGGTTTTTCTTCAGTGCTGTCTCATACACTTCAATTGCTTTTTCAGGCTGAATTACACAAGAAGAAAACAAAACTCTTACATAACGTTTTAATCCTTTTTACACGGTGATCAAATTTTTGACTTGCATTGCAATTGTTGAGCTGCTAAAGAAGACAGAATCGGTCAACAACATTCCTGTAGCCTGTGAACAGGCTCTCTGTTTGAGGAAGAGGTGAAAAAATCTTGAGGAGAGGGACCCTTTTCCCAAAGAGACAGCCTGTTCACCGGCTACATTACTGAGGCGCTCAATTTGGGCAAATTGCTTGTCATGAAACGTGTTTCGTGATTCAGAACATTTGTACCTTGGGTACTGGAGACTTTTACAGCGCAGTTTCCTGTTTCGGTCAAGTCTCTACAGTGCTCCACAAAGCTTCGCCCTTCTGCCGAAGATTCGTCGGCTTGTGGTCGACCCCGAAGCATCCTGCCGCGCGCCAAAGAAAACCTCTGGTATCCAGGGTAGCAAATTCGGTAATCTTAAATAGTTATTACAAACTTGACATCATATAATGCACTCTTCTAATGTCTGTCCTCCGGTGAAGTTTGCAACAAGGTTTTCGTTGCGTTGATTACGTTATTGACTACGCTATTTTTGTTTGATAGTTCGTTTTGGTCTTGCAAGGCTAAAGAACGATGGCTTGAAGATTATTGTAGATCCGTTCCTTCGATGTAAACATTGAAATATGGTTACACTTTTGAGGCTTTTAATGAAATTTTATTTCTTATCCTGACACTATCTGCTTGCAAATGTATTTTATACACATCATTTTTCAGTATTTCAGAGGCTGAAGCTTTAAGTAAGCGCATCCTTCACTTACCTCCTGTATACTCATATAAGCATCACCCAATAACAGACAGGTATGAGCACTTGGGTTCTTATCAACAAGTTCTCTGCAAGAAATAAGCAAATTAATACAGCACTTTTCAGGCATCAAACACCTTTCGTATCCGTTTTTGCTAAAGTTGGCACAGAAGTCGAAGTGGGCAGTTGTGTGGCACTGCATGTCCACTCGCCTTTTAATATCAAACTTGCACATACAGAACAACAATAAAACGAGACGCTGCAAATGAATTGAACCCAGCAGTATTTTTTAAAAAAGGTCCAACACGTGCTGCAGGCGTCTCGGATCGTATGAACTCTAACTTAGAACGTAGTTCAACAAAATCAGCGGATCTCTAGTTCTGTTCGATTCGTGAATGGGTTATTTCAAGTGGAAACGTAGACACTTATTAGAAATTGGGTTTGGGCAAATTGAAAATGATTAAGAATGCGCTTTTTTCAATGCAACACTAACTAAACGCTGTTTTAATAACCGGTCGTATGGCTCTAACAAGACTTGTTTAGGTCGATAATGACTGACTCATTAAACGGAGAAGAGAAGGGGGAGGTACCTAAGCACCCCAAACATCGTTTAACACAATTAGACAGTACGTACAAGTAGGTTGAGCATGATCCTTCGGGTGAACGTAGTCCTGAATAGGACTGTAATTTTTGACAGCGGCTAACGTTTCGACAACCTGTGCGGTAGTTATCTTCGGAGTCAAAGTGAGTCGATGGCGGCATCGCAGCGAAAACTTCACCCAAAAATAAGATTCACGCTGTTTTAAATTTCATCGCTCTTTTTCCAACTCTTCTAGTTTTTCATAGGTAGGCGATTTTTCAGGAGTTAGTCTTGTGGGGTTCCCGTCCTCCACAAAACGTGAAATTAGGACGTTTCGCGTCGTAGACGAGTAACGACGGCACAGAAATGCACAAAAAAGCGTGATGCACGTGCAGAGTTGTTGTCTTGCCAACCTAACCCTATTGCTTTTTTGCCGTCCTCGTTGGTGTCGCCGTCGTAGATGATAAAGGGTTGATTTCCACTGTCGCGTAATTTTCACGTGCGTAAATGAAAGGAAGACAATGTATGGAAGGTCACGCATAAACGTAAAAGTTGAACCTCGCTCAACTTTCACGTTTACGCGTGGCCTTTCATACACTGCCTCTATTTCATTTACGCGCGTTCGCATGGAAAAATTACGCGACAGTGGAAATTCACCCTAAGTTCCCCCATGAAAGAAAACTGAAAATGACTGTCTCTAACCTGTACACACTTGCATATAAACGCTTGTCCTTGCGATGATGGAGATAGATATCAGCCATCTTCTCCTTAGCCTTGATGTAGTAACTGTCAGAAAGAATACAAGTCCGCTTGAAGCTGATTAACTACAATTACTCTTCGCTACTCGTAATCCTTTGCAGCCGCCTGACAACTTAACAAAAGAAACTGAAGCAACAGTGCTAGGACGCAACCTCTTGGATGACCAACATCCAGAGTTAGAGTTGAAGTAAACAGCCTTAGAACTCTTTCATTATACACAATACATACACTGTAGCTAGAACAGGGTCAGTTAAAGAGGAATCCTGAGGCTGTAACAACATATGGCAGGAAGTCTATAACGTTATAGCCTGCGAGCAAGCTCTCCTATTTGGGCGAGCGAAGCGAGTCGGGAGAGAACGTGCGAGCGGCGAAGCTTCGAGGGGCCAAGGAAAGGAGAGCATGCAACGATCTCTAATAATTCGCCCAGACAAAGGGAAATACCACCGTCTCCTCCCGAGTGCCTCTCGCGCGTCTACTTTCACGATATCCCCCCAAATGGAGAGCTTGCTCGCAGGCCAATAACGTTAGTTCAAGAGCTCAGTAGAAAAATACACTTAGTCAACAATTTCCATGCACTGCACAGCGTCTGCTTAGTTTAATAGGGATAACTCAATTTTCTTCAAGTGACCCTCGCTATATAATGAACAATAAACAAAAGGTGCACCGAGCCGCAAAGCGGAGCAGGTTCCTATGAAAGGCGGTGAACGTACAGTACGGTAAACCGGGCGAGAAAATTGCGCAACTTGTTTTGCAACATTACAACAAAAACAGTTGAAAAGCGTTGTTACGCGTTTTACCACCAACGAATCAAACCTTTCTTGCATCAAGAAATCAGGTTGCAGGTTCTACTTTTGAAAAGAAAATCTGCACAAGTTGTGCGTCTTACCGGCTGAAGACAATCTTGTTTGACAGCAATTGACGTAACTCGTGTGCATGGTATCACTCCCGCGTAGTTTTAGCCAATCAGGGAAATGTTTCTCAAAAGTCCTGATACCTTTTCGGCCCCGAAAAACTGTTTCGTGTTGGTCGTGTTTGCCTTCAAGATCAAGGTTCCAATAAGTTTGAAAATGATACAATAAAACTATCATTTAACGAAGCAAAATTGAGTGGTCTGTGAGCTAGGAACTGTGCTACTATTCAACAGGTTTTGATTTAAAAGTTGCCTTCGGGCCCGAAAAGGCGATGAGTTTCCGGACCTTTCGAGAAACGGGCACCAGAAGTCGTATTCACACAGCTTGCAACAACCTGATTTAATGCAAGACTGGTTTGTTTCGTTGGTGGTAAAACGCGCAACACCGTTTTTCAACTCGTTTTTATAAGCAATGCTGCAAAACCAGTTAAGGAATGACTCGAACATCCGCTGACCACACTTACCTTTGTTGAGGTGTTATTTGTCGTAGTATAGTCAGGGCTTGCTCTGTATCTCCATTCTTTAGAACAAGATCTGCATTAGATATCTGTACCCTGAAGTAAAAATGGAAAATAGGTGAGGTTCGGATTTGGAACTGACAGACCCAAAACTTCATTAAAAAGCCCCTTTACAATATACAGAGAACACTCTTAGGTCCCTCCACAAGTATCCGGATATTTTTTCAAACGGAGATTTTTTCTCCGTTTCAGGCTTCCGTTCACACGCAAACGGCATTTTTTCGAAAACGGTCCCCTCCGTGGAGTTTTTTTTGAAAACGCCGACTTATCGTTTCCGTGTGAAAGGACGAAAACGGATGTTATCGAATACGATGATTTCATACATCACACAGCGCATGCCCTGAAAGGGATGCCTTTGTATTTCCATTGTTTCAGCGTTTCCGTGTGGACGGGTTAAAACGATAGGAATACGCCACGTGTGGACGCGTATCTTTTCGAAAACCGAGCCCATATTCGTTTACAAAAATACCCGGATACTCGTGCATGGGGCCTTAAAAAAGGTTCAGTGCCACAAAAAGCTTCATTTGTCCATTGTAAATGGCTCGATATGATGAAGTAATTACCTGGTGACCACTCAAACTCGACAGGTTAGCAAAGGACAGTTCACATTGCTTCTTAGCCCGCGTTACATTAGCATAAGAAAGAGAAATGTTAAGCAAAGACGGCGACGGAAACGAGAAGGTCTAAAAAAACAATGCTGTTCTCTACACTTGGTGCATTTCTTTGCCGTTCCTGACCGACTACGAAGCGGAAATGCCGTATTTCATAGTGGACGTAAACAAATGACAACGAATTTTTCTTTCTCTTTTTTAACTTAGATTGAGTTCTTTGGAATTCATCTCCACAAGACTTCGCCAATATTTGACAAAGTGCGCGAATGCCTGGAATAATCGTGATAAAGGTTCAAAGAATGCAAAATTAGTACTTTTTTGAGTGATGTTTTCGTCACCGTTGCCATCTTGCTATCTTAGATGCCCTACTATGGGGCGCGCGCGCATCAGCGGGAACCGCTTTTGTACCTGCATGTGTCGCAATAGGCTACTTGTTTCTGATCTTACCTGACTTCTTCAGGAGTTCCGCCAAACTCCTCCAGAGCATCCTGCATCACTTTAGTCGCTTCATGCTACAAAATAAATACATATTGACGTGTTTCAAAAATACAATAACATGGACCATTTTAAAGAAATGTCTTATTTAGCCTAGGCATTACTCTCTTCCTCCCTTCCCGCATCTCGTCTCCACTATCCCTGATGAAGCCCTGTTACTCAAGCTGTTTTTCCAGGCAATGTCTACAAGGTGCTATTGATGTATTTCAATGGAACGTAAAGTTAAAGCTAAAGCAATTATATTTTACGTCGATAACTGGTGACAGTATGTCAACTTGAGGTTGACAGTGCGCTCATCCCCACACCCCACCCCTCTCTCTTCATAAGGGTAAGGGTATTTAAAGCTAGTTAAAGCGAGCTATAAATTTTTTCGACTATAAATGAAAGGAGAGAAGTCGAAACAAGTATATGATGTCATCGGGGATCGAACTCGGAAAATCTCGCACCGAAGGCCGCGCACTGACCAACTGTACCATCCTTGCCCCTAACGCGTTGTCTGTAAATATTTTCAGGGTTTTGTGAGATGACGCTTAGATCAAGCATAGTTTAATGTACCATGAGGATCTGAATAACAATCAAAACATGAATCATAATTTACCAGTTGGCCTGCCTCCATGTGAGCATCTACTAGTTCAAGGTAAACTGCTGCACGATCACTGGAGCTAATCGCTATTTTCTTGCTTTGAGATTTTGGAGCTACGAAGTAAATGCAATTATAATAAATCAACAAAAAAAGCTAGACAAAAACTGACAGACCTGGAAAGAAGACTTCATTGCGGGCGAGAAGAGAAGCCCACAATCTAGACTTTCAAAAAAGTCCTTCGTCGGATTTCGTATGGCGCGGGACGATGGACTTTTCATACTTGATTGGCGCCAATTTTACCGACCAAAAACGGGTCGGTGCGCTTGGACCAATCAGAGTAGCTCCCAAGGACCCTTGGGAATAAAGCTTTCACCCACAAGTACTAAGCGCATTGAAACGTGACTTACGGTTCCAAGTCCAACATGGGGTCGATTCCGAAGTGGAAGGTGTTGACGGGCCAAACAGGACTAATAAGCTCGTGATAGTGTGATAAGTGACCTTATAGTTTTGCTCTAAAGAGGATATCTCCCAGCGATTTTGCTCTTTTATATGAAATGATGGGAGGCTCGTTGTATATATTTGTCTCAGTATTGGTTGATCTTGAATTAAGTGCCATTTGCTCATTAAAATGTTTTTAAGGTTCTGCAAAGCAGGGTGGTACTTGGTAACGAAAGGCAGAATTTTCTTTCGCAGTTTATTGTTCTTTTGTAAAGCTGACTTCCGTTCGGTAAATTTAAGCTCAGAGGTGATTTTTTCTATGAGACTGTGAGGGTAACCTCTAGCGAGAAGGCGTTTTTGAAGTTGTAGATGTTTTCGTATAAGGATTTAGCTCGAGGAGTTAGTTCTCAGAAGTCTAAGGGCTTAGCCCTTTATGAGACCTTTTCTGACCACGTGGTGAGGGTTACAGGAAGAGAAATGAGTGTATTGAAAAGTCTCTGTAGGTTTAAAATGTGTGCGGATGGGAAGGATTCCTTGGCTGTGAAATCTCCTTTCCCAGTATTGACTCGAGATTGAAACAATTTTTTGTTTTTTTTCCGGCCCCCTGAGGTCGTCAACTTTCGCCTAAAATCATTGTTAGAGAAAACTTTCGCACAAAGTTAACAAATTTGCTCCTTCGATGATGGAGATACACACATACGTTCAATAGATATAGTCGCAGTGGAATCAGCACATTCCGCCATTGAAGTCAAGGACTCGCAAATGAAACCTGAAACCCTAAATGCGAGTCACGCTACTCCCCATTTTTGGCGCGAAATGCAAATGGCAAACCATCAAGCGAGACAAGTCGACCTCTCGCGACTTCGTCGCTCGCGGTCGGCCGCTTCGCAGCCAAACAAGGCTCGCTCCGCTCGCCAAGAGGTCGACTTGTAGCAAGTCTACCCACAATCCTAATCTACAAGTTGCTATTATGCATGGCATCTCATGTATGTAGCCAGCATTCGTTTGGACTTCCACCGAGAATGAATGGAATGCACAGAGCGCAATTTGATCACGCGCGTTTGGACTTTTTTTCACTCGTAATTTGATCACGCGTGTTTTGACTATCTGTCACGTGCAACTTCCGCAAAGCACAACGATGTCGCCCGCACTGCGTAATCTTTGGTTATTACTAGTTTATAGCATTTTAATCATGGTACATCATGTCCGGCTCTCATCAACCAGGAGCGCTCACCAGCTACTCAGTGAAGTGTCACAGACGCGTTTGACCATTCCCGAAATCGATACGTTCATAAGCGACCCCACAATGCACAAGGGTCCTTAACAAGTTAGATTCTCGTCGCTTGACATTGATTGAGAGTTTTGGTACGAACGCTGTGACACAGTCTTTCTATATCAGCCCCTCATCATACAAAAGCAACAGCACTACCAATGTTTTTTAAGCCCAAACGCCGCGACACAAATAACAGGACAGCCACTAAAGAAGATCTAAAAACGTGCTTGATTGAATTACGCCTAAGGAACTCCCATGCAATTTGCTTACCTGCTTTCTTTACTCCAGGCAGGTTCATTGCAGCTTGCATGGTGCTGACACTTTCTTCTGGATGTCCCATCTTCTTCTGAACTCTTGCTTTGATCAGATGATACAAAGGATGATTTCTTACCTAAAGCAAAGCAAATTATTAGCTTGTTAACATTACACTGGCTTACAGGCAGCGAAAAACATCTCGCAAAGGCTATGGTGAAAGCATCGCTATTGCGTTACACTGCACCGCTTTGACACTGTCGGTTAGGAAGATTAGCGAGTTCACGCAGTCAAGACGGCGACGGAGATGAGAACGTTAAAAAGCATCAGTTTTAATAAGCAAAACAATGACTCCACATGTGGTACATTTCTTTCCGTCACTGCAAGGCTACGACGTCAAAATCAGTTCTAACTTTACATTTTACGGGGGACATAAACACAAAAAGACGATTATCTTTTTCTTAACTCGGAAAGGGTCCTTAAGTATTCAACCCAACATCAATACTCCCACTTTTAACAAATTGTACGCCGGAGAGATCGGATATTAGAAATCAAGTGTAAAAAATGGTGAAAACGGTTTTTTCGTCTCGTTTTCGCGCCGTCGTTGTCGTCGTGGTTTCTTTAAAAGTTCCATTTAATGATCCTTTGACGGCGACGGTAGCAAAAACGTCTTTTAAACGTGAACTTGGGTTCCTTCAAACTTGATTGTTATCATTTCCAATTGTCGAACCAATGGACCGTATGTAGGTTCAGGAACAAAAAGAAAAGTTTCTCGTCCTGTGTTTACGCCCCTACAAAGAACCTCGCATTAAGAATCAGTTCATTTTTGTACACTTCCCGAAAGGACCTACTCACCTCAAAGTTGTAGCTGAGACCGACTTCAAGAGATTGCTCAGCAAGTTTAAAATTCCCCTGTTGGAGATGAATCTGTTGAAGAAAGAAAGCTCTAAAGATTAGTTTGTCTATCACGTGAGCAGTCAAGCCCGTTTATACGGCGCTAAGGGGACCATGGAGAGTGTCCGTATTAACGGGGTGCCCGCATTTAGGGGGTTCCGTTACTTAGGTCATGAAGACATTTTTGTACTGGGATAAAATACTGAAGTGATAAAACAAAACATAAGCATCGTCAAACTAAACATCTCCAACTTACAGAAAGGCATTATTCGGTATTTCCTTGGACAGCTATGTCCGTGAAATCACTCAAAAGTCGCTCATTTGTACAATACCTAATCGGCTCCAGACATAACTAAATAAAAAACCACACTCTGTAAAGCTCATGTGTTGTCAAAATAGTTAGAAATTGGCGTCTACACTTTATCTTGTCTCGTCTACTGTAGCATTGTGAACAACATATTAAAGCTGTCATCCGAAGGCTTTGTAAAGCAGGGAGTGGTATAATGAGGTGGTAGCGATAAATTACCTGAGCCATTAGTAGATGTGCATCAGAAAAGGTCGAGTCTTGATCCAGGCAGTGGATCAACAAGGATTTAGCAGCATCAGTCTCCCCTGAAAACAAACGACTGAAATGTGTTACTGGCGCGTTAAATACGCTTAAACTTCTTGAGTCAAGGGCACTCAAAAATAAGCGGCTGTGCTACCACTGTGTGTACATGTAAGTCAAGGAGAAGTTAGCTTCTAATTCTAAACCAGCAAGGACTATAGCTTATTATAAGTTTAGGAAAACTGCCGACCTACCCCTCCCTTAAGGCAACATTTTGCCCCAAGTGAGAGGTACGTGTTAATGTAGGCTTAGGGGAGGGGTAGGTGGGCAATTTCCCAGAAACGTATAATGATTCGGAGTATCCTCTGGAAAAGAGGCTCATCCGCAGTCCCTCTTGGGTGGACAGACCAAGCTGAAGCACCGACCTGACGTCCTAACTGACCTAACCTTCCTGAACAACTGCGTTTGCTTTTAACTTTCAAGTAAATGAGGTATCAAACTCTTGATCTTACTGCCTTTCTTTACAAGTAGTATAGGGCGCACCGGTTACTCCGTTTTTGCGGAGGAATCTCATTAACTTGCTGAGGCAGACATTAATGCCGATGACGTCATAGCCTTTGGTCTTTAAGATTCATCGCATGAATAAAATCAATTCGTTGACAGGGTTCTCTCTTTTGTTTCGAGAAAGAACCCTGGTTGCGGCTGGTCATGTGACTACCCGTGACAATGAACTCCTCATCAGGGTAGGGCCAATGTATTATCTGAATATGAGCTAAAATTCGAGGTAGTAATATGTAATCAGGCACAAGCCATTCGTTTTGGAAAGGCAAATAATGGAGTGAGGTTCGTTCGTTCGTTCGGTCACTCGGTCCGTCGGTCGGTTGGTCGGTCCGTCCGTCGGTTCGTTCGTTCGTTCATTAATTCATGTATGTTTATTTGCCATATCACACATCATTACAATAAAGGTGCATTATAAAGGAAGTTAAAGGAAAAGCAGATGGCGAGGAAAGCAGAAAGGAAATATAAAGAATCAGGTTTCCTCGAACTAAAAATAAGCGAGTCTAATATGACAATATGGACCAGCAAAAGAAGTATAAGCTTTTAAAACACAAGAAAAATACGTAGCTACTTGCGCTATTCAAAAATGCTATGACGGCGGCCAAATTGTAATGTCACAATGTTTTATAGAAATAACTATAGAAAACCTTTCCAACCGGTAAGTACACCTAAAAGCAGCACATGACCTTATCTTAATGAGATTCCACTGCATTTTATTACTATATACGCATTTTATTACTATATACTATATTATATAATGTCGCTAATGTATTCCGCCGTACATTGATGAGATTCGTTCACAAAAGTGACGAAGTAACCGATGCACCCACGGCAATAGAACTTTTATACGCACCTGAAAGATACTTGACTTTCGCCATGAGATACAATCCTTCCAGCAAACCAGTGACACTTTTAGTTAACGGATCTAGCACGGCAGCACAGCGCTTCAGCAAAGGCGGGGGCGGCTGACCGGGACTTTGTGCCTGAGTATAAGATAACAATTGCAGTGAGACTGGATCCCAAACTTGCGCAATAACCAAAAACAAATGCACAGAGCAAAAAGAGGGGCAAGAAGAGATGTATTTAAACCGACGTTTCCTTTCGTGTGTTAGTTTGTAGTACTAGTGAATTTCTGGTTTGAAACAAGCACAGGAACTAGACAGCACATCGCAAGCATATATCCCTGACATTCAGAAAAGGGAACTAGTAAACACAGTGGTTACGTATTAGGGGTGTTTATTAGCATTTGTGGTGGTGGTGGAAGAGTTTCGTTGGATTCACTGGGTGGTTTTGTCTATGACTACCCTGCAGACGTACAAAAAGTAGCCTTTGTCGATAACTGGCCCATTTTCTATCTTGCATGCGCCAGTTTTCTAACGCGATTCGTGCGTTTTTCGCGCAGCAGTCAGTCGGATATGCGACAGTTTCTTCTGACGAAGATAGCTGTGGGTGAAGATGGGGTTTTCAACCGCTTGAAACTTAAATTGCTGAAATCTATTAACCTTACAGAGTTGTACTTCCTGTACTTGGAAAACAATAGGATGTATCCGGTGACTTTTTCGTCATTCAAGACACGAGTTCATTCCTCAGTACATCTTTGTTAACGGTTAAAGGATCTGCCTCCTACCATCTCCTTGGAGACGATAAAGTGGGTATATAAAGAATATTATTGTTTTTAATGTACAAACCTCGGTAGGAGCGTAGATGAGGTAATCACTAATAATCTGAAGAAGGAAGTCTGGATTTAAGTTGTAGAAATATTTCACACCAAGAGCGAGACCCTACAACACAACAACAAAATCAGTGTCAAAAAAGCAGACGTAGTATATCAAAGTTACTTGCAACACATCACAAAGTTTCATAATCCTAGTGAACACCAATTTAAGGTTTTCTCACTGATCAAAAGCAACGGCCACTAACTCCTTTCGTTCCATGAATGGCACGTAAAAAATGCTAAAATTTTGATCTTTCAACTAACCTTGAGAGATGTAAAATGTGCATCAACAGCTTCATTTAAGAGGTTAATAACTTCCTCAGCTGGCTTGTTTTTCTTTCTGTGTAATACAGAGCTTAGGTATGACAGCTCCTACAGAAAGGAACATTGTACTTTAACTTGAGGTCTAAACGTGATGTCAGGTTTGAGGTATGAACCGCACAGTTTGTGTTTCTACCTTCATTGTTTTGGCATACGTTTTTTAGGTACCGTAAATCCTCTATTAAGCCCCTCTCTAAAGCCCCCTCCCTCTAATACGCCCCCCTCTAATAAGCCTTCTTTAATTACTCTTCACTAATAAATGATAGACTGTATAATAATCAATCACGACTGTAAAACGTCGCGTGGACTGATCCAGGATGGTTTATTTACCAACTGGAGGTTCGAATTTGTTTTTGATCCTCGACTGCACGACCTACAACCTTTTTGGACCTGAGCTTATCCACTTTGTTTTCTAGGTCTTTATGGAGAACTGATACCATCGTCGTTTCTAAATTAAATAGCCCCCCCGTCTCTGTTAAGCCCCTCCCCAACCTCCTCCCCTCAAATGGGATTGAAATAAATAAGCCCCCATCTTAAGGAACCAGGACGGCAACTGCAGCGAAAACGTCACTAAAAAGTGAAATCGTGCTGTTTCAAACTTGCATCTCTCTAATTCAGCCATTTCATTCAATTTGTCAAAAGATGGGGAATTTCTCTTGAATTGATACAATTTAAGGACTGCGTTTTTAAGTTCAGAAAAAAAAAAAATCGTCTTGAGTTCACGTCCCCAATAAAACATGAAATAAGGATGTTTTAAGTTGTAGTATTGCAAAAAAGGCAACGAAATTTACGACAAAAAAAGGGTGATGCTCGTGCGAAGTTGTTTTTTGTTGATCGAAGGCCCCGTTTATATGGGAAAAAGTTGTCCCAGGGAAGCGTTAAAGAAGTGTGGTGCTGACTTAAATTTGAGTTCACTAATCTATTACATGTATCTAATAGTGTTGCTACTGAACGTAATAAAACTTACAGATGATTTTCCGATGGACTGTTGTATTTCATTCAGAAATTCCAGCTGTTGTTCAGCATCTTCAACCATTCCTTCCAACAACTGACATTTGATGATACCTGGCAAGGGAAACAAAGAAAAACCTACTCATACAAAAACAAATGACTTTCGGAGTTTGTTAAGGTAAATCTACCTTACACTTGGCAGTACGTTTCTTCACATTCACGTAATTTTCAATAATGAGAAACGACTTTGCTAAAAAAGGATGGAATCGAACTTTTTGCACGTATGAATTGGATCAGTTTAGTGCGCTCAATAAACAAACAAACAAACAAACAAACAAGAAAACAAGCAAAAAGTAATACATCGCTGAGTGTAAGTTAATGTAGAAAGAACAACAGCCTTTTCTTAGTCTCGGAATACAGCCATCACTCCTCGCTCCTCGCCGCTAGATATCGAAATCACTTCTTTTAAATCACTGACAACAGTTATTGTAAGTCGTTTGCTGATATAGAATCGTAAATGTCTGGATGGTGTAAATTACCAAGTTGTACCGAGGTTTTTCTTATTATCCTCGAGTAAACGCCGCATTCTTCTGATTAGACGCGGTGTTTTTTCGAGGGCGGCGTTTAATGGTAATTTTGCATCCGTCTGCGGCGTTTGATCGAGCGCGGCGTTTATTCGACGGCGGCGTTTAATCGAATAAATACGGTAATGTAGAATGTCTTTTGCCAGTGAGTATCTCTGTCTAGGTGGACCAACCTGTTAATGCTGGTACACTTGTTTCATCAAGCTTCATAGCTGTTCGGAATGCTTTCATTGCTTCTCGGGTTCGGTGATGTAAGATGAGCTGATTTCCAAGCTGTTCAAATGGGAAATAAATGATCCAAAAGTAACCAACAAACTTATTTCAATAAAGTTCTTACATATATGAAAACTTACAGTTTACTTAGATGTGTATAATCGCTGCATTCTCTCTGGTTTTCATTTTATTTCTTTTTAACAGTTCCTCAGACCGTATATCGGGCAAGTTAATCAAACGGTACCGATTATAGCCTACAAATTAAAAGTTACACACGTTCTCAAACAAGTCCAGTTACCTCTGTCTGATATTCAGCGTTGTTTGGTGCTAGGCTCTGAGCTCTCTCTACGAGTGTCAATGTTTGTTGTAATACCAGGTCATTCCTGCCACACTAAATAAAACACAAACATTTTAGCAAACATGCAACGAGTAGCCAGTAACAATTACCATTCTTTTTTATTCACGTTGTTTTTCATTACAACAGGTACTTGTAGTTTCTTGATGTCTGGGACGGGTGCAATCACCAACTTACATAATACAAAAGACTGTAAAGACACTGAACAATATCTACATTATAACACAGAGCCGGAGAGGGGATCCCCACCAACAATGGTTTTGTGCAACACCAAGAACAACACCCCTAAAACAGATGTCTCAACAGTGATGACCATAGAAGGATGCAGAAGTGTGTGGCATAAGGATCCAGATACCCAAGAGTCTCATAGCTCGTTTCCAAGTTGCTTTTAGCACCTGATGACTGGCTCCTACACGTAGTAGGTTATGGGCTACATTGTCCCTGGTGACAGTGACCAGAACTTAAATACAGTAAATGCCCTTTATTTGAGATACCCTTTGGACTGTAGCCTGCGTAGCAAGCGTTTCCGTGCGCTTTCGGAGCAAAGAGAGAGGAACGAGAGTCAACGATAGCGCGAAAAATGGCGCGAGTAAAAGAGCAGGGAGGGGGTGGGGAAGAAAGGAAGGAAAGGAATTAAGCCCTTTGTAAGGTAGTTAGTCATTCACGTTGTACAAAACGGTCACGCTGGAGAGTAACAGATACACTGGGCAAGACAAACAAAGGGAATTAACACTATAAATGAGACGACCTCTTTGTTTTTTTGCGCCATGAACTCCAGCATGGCAGTTTTGTACCACGTGAATGACCGAGCTGTGTTCAAAGTATAGTTGGTAAGAGCGAATACAACAAGAATTTCCTGGGAAAACAATTGGTTTAGACTGCTAACGCTAAATTTAACATTTATAAAATTTATATCTTTTTGTACAAGAAAAGAATCAAAAAGTCAAAAGTCAAACCAAAAAGACGAATTATTTCATGATTTTAAAAGATTGGTGAAAATGTTTTCAAATTGTGACTGAATCTTCATAGATGTAGTCTCCCGTGTAACTGCTTTTGTCTTGTCCAGCAATACTTCTCTACCATTTTACTTAAATTTTTCAGACGTAAATTTTTTAATCCTTACCAGTCTGCTGAATGCTTGAGACAAATCATGATACAAGAAAGGATTCCTAGGCTCACATCTGTCCACCATCTGAATTAACTCTCCAAGCCGATCTGATGCCTGAAGAAAAGTTTTCTTTAATCATTAAAAGGAATATGTTTTATAGTAAATACCTATTTTATAGTACTTATTTTATAGTAAATCCCATAACCTGAAGCAAACAACTTCTATGGCAATGCACTCGTGTCATGGCGTTTTTTCTCACCAGTTTATTTTTAGAATGATTTTGGCACGAAGTTAGAATATCTGATAACTCCCACAAATCAGTCAGCAAAACCTACAGACTTGAAAATGGTATTTTTGAACTTATGATGGTGTTTTTTTCCCCTTGTTCACATTCTTATACTTTGAATGTGCTCAATGAAGAGCTTCCAGTTTCATGGCAAAAAACTGCTAAAAATAAACTGGTCTGTGAAAGTGCTGTGACATAACCCTAGTATGGGAGTTGCTTGCTCCAGGTTATGGGCTATAAAGCCTCAATGATTAACATTAAATTTTTCCACGGACAACACAGACTGGAGGAGGGTTTTGTCATTATGCAACTAGCCTCGAATTTTATTTGTGCAGAGAAAAAAGATACAGCTAAACAAGGTAAATAAGTTTATTTTTGAAAACCAATCCAAACCAACCTAGAGTAACTGACTTACTCTTTGTTACCAACACAAGAAACTGTCAATCAAGCATGTGGCAAGGTGAAATCTGAAGTGAACTAAAATGAACTGGAATTGGAGAACATGCTAGTTTAGCTGACATTAACATTATTCATTCAATAATTAATATTTCTCTGTTTCTGAATGGTTCAATCCCCTAGCTTATTCTTCATGACAAGTGAGCATTGACCAAATTTGGAAGACATTTGCAATATCAGTAAAATGAGGTCAAATTGACAGTCAATAGAGAGAAGTTGTTACATCACGTTGCCATGGTAGCAAAATTTTGGGATGATAACAAACTGAAAATTGACTTAAAAAGTAAATTCACACTGTTTCAAACTTCATCGATCTTATTCAGTTTCATTGAATTTGTCAAATGTCGGCGAAATTTTCTGGATTTAATTCGAAAGGACCGTATCTAAGTTTAAAATGAAGCACGTTGCTTAAATACGGATGTGTTGGTATTTGTCGCCAGTTATTTTTGAGTGTGCAAGATTATTTGTTATCAGGTATATAAGGTGTTCTTTGCAAAAACCGTTCTGTAAATTTTCTTGGTTATCTTTTTTGTTATTATATTCAATCTTTCAGAAAGGTTATTACCAGATTGTACTTTATTGACATTCGTCTTCGTTAGCTCTATAGGTATGTTTATTCATGAATTTTGCCCGGGTTCCAGAGATGCCTATTCCTGATTCTTGTCTGCGTTTCATGGTTTCTAGAGTGAAAATGATTTGTTCTCGTTTCACTGCAGGGTGATTAGAGAACAAAAGACACTTTTTGTGTTGTGTTCACACACTCCGTAAAGTGGGTGTGTAAAATTAGGAAGTTTCATGTCATGTCACAGTCATGCAATGACGGCTATGAAATGTACCCTGCAAAGGTTTTTTGAAACGTATCGGGTTTTTTCTTTCTTTCTCATTACAAAAGCTTAAATTGTTGTCATCCAGAAATTTGGCTGCCATGGTAACTTAACGTCACACTTCTCCTCTCTATTGAGCAAGATATTAACAAAAAAAGGGATTGCAACCATAAAGAACCCACTGGTTGAGGTTACATTAGCTCAGCTGTTTTGAAAGAGCTACAAAAAGCAAATCCAGTAAAGCTAATAATACATAAGTAATGCACAATACATATCACTGTAGATACTATATAGTACAATAAATATTTTAAAAAAATTATTTCCAGTACCTCACTATATTTTCCCTCTCGACAAAGTGTATACATAACAACCATCCTTTGGGCCTCAATACAGTTTCTGTTGCTATTCAGAGCTCTGTGAAATGACAGCAAATATCATAGCAACCCTTAGAACTAAACTCACTTAGTTTATAACTCAAATCTTAATCCCCTTGCCATGTTTACAATTTTATCAATCGACAGCACACCACCACCCAATACTCAAAATGAGGGCCACCTAGCTTGAGATTAGTCTCATAATGTGTACTGACAGTATTCCCATAGATATCCATTGCCACAGCTGTAAAGAGCACTTTTAAAATGGGTAAACTTACACAGTACCGTCTTTGACAACAATATAACAGAGACAAGCAAAGCTATACATACACAGTAGCCAGGCAAAGTTTTGAATTTTAAATGGCTTTGTGTGGTGTAAAGCACAAACTTACTGGTAAATATCAAAAGTTAAAAAATCACGGCAGAAGGGTCTATAAACAATATGATGCAAAAGGTCTTACAATGTACCTTTGTGCTGTCTCTAGCGTTTGATCCCAGTCTTGCAGCGCAAGCTGTAATCTCATCTTTTCAATCAATGCAGGTATAAAGTCTGTATATCCAACCACAGCCTATAATGTTTAGAATTAGTCACTTATTAATATTTCCAGGGTGTTCATTAGGCACTGGAGATTGGAGAATTCTCCATTAACTACACAGAATTCTGTGGCAAATGTTTTATTCAGGCGTGGGACCTGTTTCAAAATTTTCTCATGTAACGTTACATCTTTCTCCTGCTACTAGAATTCTTGGTGAAAAACCTGTATTTCATGACAATAAGACATCTTTGACACTTCAGGATCTTAATTAAGGTCCTGCATGGGTAACCTTCAAGGCACACCCAGGGGGTGGGGGAGGGGGGGAATATTAGACAGAAAAAGGGGGTGGGGGAGGGGGGGAATATTAGACAGAAAAATACTATTATTGGGGATAAACATGACCTACATAAACGTGAATTCCACACAAAAGAAAGCACAAATGGTTACTGGATGTAAAGGTTAAATTTGATTTCAGGTTAAAATTGTTTAACCTGGTGGGTTGATTCTCTATGTTCTTTGTCTCTCAGGGATAAGAGACAAAGGAAATTGAGAACCAATCTAGGTTAAATCAAAATCAACCTGGATCAAATTTGACCCATAACATATATGATGATGACTGTTAGACATAGAATGTACTTGAAGTCCATTTTGCAGTACATGTTTGTTGGTTGGTAGATATATTTAAAGGCCAGGTTATGTGCCATACAGTTATCATTCTGGTCTCAAGCTGAGGGAAGGCACGAAGTGACCTCATTTTTTAATAAAACCCTCAATACTTTTCAAGTGTAAATCAGGTTGTTATGCATATGAATGACACTAAGGATTCTATCAAAACAACCACTAGTCTTGCTTCCATTTGAATGCTACAATGCTGATAGTTCACATAGAAATTGCAAATTGGCCTACTGTATTTGTACTCCCTAAAAAAGATGTGCCATATCACCTCCCCATAATGGCCACCTCTCCACAATGGCCACTTTCCTCTGTCCCCAAGATAGCCATTGTGGAGAGGTTCAACTGTATTTGAATACTAGGTACTGGCAGCTCATCGTACAACACTGGAAATTGGCCTCCTGTATTTGTACACACCTGATTGATGAGCTCCAAAGCACCACTGAAGTTGTTCTTCATCTCAAGGAATTTGGCCTGCAACAAAAGAGTACATGTATCTGAAATGAAGCCCTCAAGTTCTTAAACTCAGTTATGAAAAAGTGTGGCACAGGGCTACCTTTGAGACATGTTGCGTTATCCGTGATTTTTGAAATTTTGTAAAACATGACTAACACAATTAATGTCACTGGCATGAAAATAACTGGCATATAATACAATGTATTAAAAATTAAACATAAACTTTTAACCCTCATAGCTACAATTTAGTACTCAATGACTTTCTTATTCATCAAAAAGCTCCCCTGTTTCTGGCTGGCTTTTTTCCCCAAGCTAATTCTTCCTAATCAGATGGCGATGACCAAATTTTGAATTTGGAAGATGCTTAAATCAAAGCATCACTGATGTCAGTTACTCAGAAATGATTGTAAACATACCATAAATCCTCTATTAAGCCCACGGGGGGCTTTCTTATTTCAAGCCCATTTGAGGAGTGGGGGGGAGGGGGTTAACAGAGATAGGGGGCCTATTTAATATAGAAAAGACAATGGTATCATTTCTCCATAAAGAACTAGAATACAAAGTGAAAAAGCTCAAGTACAAGAAGGTTTGAGGTCATGCAGCCGAGGATCAGAAACAAATCTGAAATTCCACTTGGTAAATAAACCATCCCGGATCGGTCCACACAAAGTTTTACAGTCATGATTGATTAATACAGTCCCCATTTATCAGTGAAGAATAAATTATTAGGACAGGGTATAGTAGAAGGAGCTTAGTAAAGGTGGGGGGGGGGGTGGCTTATTGACTTTCTTCCCAGAAAAGGGGGGGGGGCTTATTAGAGGGAGGGGGCTTATTTGAGAGGAGGGCTTAATAGACGATATTGCCAGTTATCCTTGATTGATGTTACACAAGACAGTAGCTGACTTAACATGGGTGCAGAACTCAAAATGGCAAAAGAGTCCACACTTATGCAAAGACAAAATAGCATACTAAAAGTTATAGCAAGAATATACAAAAATGTTACTTGAAAAATATCAACTGTTTTTTGAGGAATAACTGCTGACAGACAAGGAATGTCAAAAAGAGGTAAGGGTGTTAACAACTTGGAAATATATTAAATAATGAATAATAAAACAAATCTTGGGTGGTGCTACAACTTTATGTCATGCGAATTCAATAATCCGATTGTAAATTATACTCCTCTGATTTTATCACTGGAAACTTTGAATCTAGTACTTTGTTGGTATAAATTCTCTTAGGTTATAGGGATCTGGCTAGCTAGAAAACTTATGTTACAGTCAACTTAAGTAGCATAGACAGAAATGGTAAGCAAACTACAAGACATACCTTTCCAAGCAAAGCATCAACATTCTTCACGACTTCTGACCTAAAATTAATTGACATAATGAAATCAATAAACAATCGACAATACCCCGCAGAAAACTCCCAGTAAAAAATGTCACAGTCCAAACATAAACCAAACACATGTAAACCACGGCACATTAATGATTAACCACTATTCCACCTTAAAATTAGAAACTGATAATTGAAATCATATGTTAAATACCCTGGGAGATATTGTAGCAGAAAAATTATCAAAGCTACTTACCCGCTGAGTGCTTCATCAAACATCTTGATGCTCTTTTTTGCATAGGAATCTTTGCCACTGGTTATATCAACCCAGCCACGCAGAAGAAGACCCTGACATTATAAATGAAACATTCCTTTTGTAGCCTGTTCTAGGCATTCAGATCATGGGGACAGTGCAAAGAAATTTAAGCAGGAAAAAAAAAACAAACGAGGGGGTGGGGTAGGGGTGAGAGTCCCTCCTCTCTCCCTCTCCCTTTTTTCCTCCTTATTTTTTTCTTGTTCTCTTCCTTCGTGCTGCACTCCACTACCCACACACCTAGAACAGGCTATTCCTGTTGCAGTTAACTTTCTACAAGTATGGGCAAATTTAATTTTTAACCAGGTAAAATCTCTTTGGCTAGGTAGGGCAAAATAACTAGAAAACAGTGTAGAGCTTAGGTTAGGCAAGGTTTGTCTGGTGGATCTGGCACCCAAATGTATATAAAGTCAAACCTCCATGTGTGACCACCTGTCATAAGCGGCCACCAATCCAAAACACCAAAATTTTCCCAGTCAAAGCCCTTTAACAAGAACCTCTCATGAATAACAACCACCTCTTATAAGCGACCACTTTTTCACTGTTTTAATTTCTTTTAAGCAACCACTTAATGCATGCTGTGGTCTCTTTGTTCCCTGTATGTAGTGTGCCACTCAGAGTATTCCAAGAACTTTCAAAGACAACATGCAATTACATACATAGTTATCACATAACTTAGAAATTAGGGTTGGTGTGTGGGGTGGCCGGGGTTGTGTGCAGCGATGTTGTGAGCTTACAGCGCAGCTTCAAAAGTCAAGTCATTTTGCTTTCTGTTTCTTACTTCTGGGTAGTTCTTGTTGATTTGACCCCCAGCCTGCCCATCCCACTTGCCATGGTAAATATGTGGTAAGAGTCTCTTAGTTACCAATATTTTTTTCAGGATGGTGGTCCTTGGTGGTTGTCACTCACAGGATTGTCATGGATACCCTATGTGTTCTGCTCAGTTTGTCTAGTGACCCCACCTTCCTTTGTCAGGCACCATTTCCCAAGCTCATCTATTATTGATGGGTTCAGTAGAGCTTTGTATGGAGACACCACCTTGGTGTCCATTCAGATGGGCGGGAAACCAACAGAAATATCTGTCACTGAGTTTTGCTAATCAAGAAAGAGTGAATTCATCTCCAGACAAACTCATAAACATTAAAGCAATACTTTTTCTAATACAATGACTGTTTAAAAAGGAAAATCCCCCAAAATAACTCACTTTTTTAACCTACATGACAACTCTCTCAACCACCAAGTAAATGCTGTGTTGCACAAAAGCGTATAAATTCAAGCATACTATATCACAAAATGTAGAGCCCTTTGAAGTGAAAATTTTCTATTAATATTAGTTTTCAGCCGCTCTAATGCCTCATAAAAGTAAAAAATCAGTAGGATTGATAATTCTTTAGTTTGAATTTTAACGATGTCATGTAAAACCAGTAATATGGAAAATGACTGCTTTTGACATTAAGACTAAGAACAAAATAATGTGCCCCCCTTTCAGCGGCAGGGGGCAGGGGGATAATCTCTACATAACAACCAGTAAACTATTTCTTGTTGTTCCAACAATGATCACTGTACCCTACGAGCAGCTGACAACCGTTCAAATCCATCAGAAATCTGGACGAATAAATTTAAAAAAGAGGTTTTTCCTGTTCTTGAGGAGAACAGAGTTGTCGCAGTTTTTTTATTCCCACGAACAGACCATCATGACAGACCGTGACAATTAATTTTGCTTGCGAATTGCGTGATGAATTTCGTGCATATACAATAGAAAATTAAACGGTTGTCGGCAGAGGCTACTTTTCACATGCCAGCTCACCCAGCAAAAATATAGGCTCTGCTCCCAGGGTATGATCACTCTGCATCTAGAGGTAAAATCAGATTATTTTACTCACCTCCTTATTGCCACTGGCCATTTTGATCATCCTGTCAATGTATTCTCTTGCCTTGTCATGGCGTCCAGTGTGCCAGAGAAACATGCCACCAAAATACAAAGCCATCTCACCACAAGACTGTCGATCCTGCCTCAGCTTGGTCTCTAGCTCTTGGACAGCTTCTCTGTCGACGAGTTTAGCTTTTTTGTGCGCATGTATCAGTGCCATGGTGGAGCATAATAACACATCTGGTTTGTCCTTGATCACCTCTAATTCCCTAATGGCCTCTGATGCTCTGTCTGTTAGGTGAGTAAATTTCAAATAGTATTAAATATACAAAGGAAATAGCACCTGCAGAAGCTGACTGTCATGTAAGCTAAGTACAAAACAAACCTTCCATCAACACTCCAAAGGCTTTCCAAAATATCAACACCGGATCGTTCCCATATTTCTTCAGACTTTCAAGACAGGCATTCTGTAGATGTCTGTAGTATTTTTCTCGACAATAGTAATTTATATACGCCTAGAAAATAAAACGCGTTAACATCGACTGCATGACTTTTTCTAAAGCGGAATTAACGATATAGCTAGCAACGTATAGCAACGAGAACATTTTTACAACAACAGCTCAATATTGAAGATTGTCTTGCATTTTCAAGCCTTTCTTTTCTTCTTCCTCAGTTTTACTTACCAATGTTACAGTATCACTTGAAGCCATTTTATATATCCCCTTAATTCGGGGTAAATGTTTGAAGAATTGAAACTGTTTCCCGGAATGTTTTTAACTTCGAGTGTTTCTGGCAACCAAATAGTCCGCCATTTTGATTTTTCCTAGTATTTCCCGTGAGCCTTTTCTTTAGATCCATGACTCTTTGCGGGATTTAAAATTCAATATGGCGGCTGTAGAAGGCAGTTTAGAGGAAGAAGCTCTGAGGCGAAGAGAGCGGCTTAAAGCGATGCGAAAGAAAAGTGGAGTATCGGATGAACAGGTATCTGAGATTATAAACTATCGGGCATTTTTATCTTGAAGATCAATGACAGGAGGAGTTTCTCAGCTACAATGTCTTGTTGAAGTTGAAGAGGATCGAGTCTAGAGACGTGAGCCTGGGGAATTCGATTCGATCCTGAAAGGGTAACTTCTCTTTTTCATTGATTGACAGGCTACCAACGAAATCGATCACTCAATAGGAGAAAAAAGACCTCTGGATGATACATCAGAACCCGCGTAAGTGATCAGCTTTATATGACAGGCGCGTAGCTGGTGTTTGAGAAGGGGTGTTCGTACTGATACGAATAATTATTTCTTAACAGCAGGAAATACTGCGAGCGCCAAAGGCGCGAGCTTCGAGGGGTTTCTTGGGGCAATTACTCCCACAGAAAATTTTGAAATCTAGAATACTGGAAATGCTATTTTCGGTAGTCTCCACGTGAATATTTCAAACTTGATCAAGTCTAAAATAATAGATATTTTAAGTCATAACAACAATATTTCCGTTTGACTTGGAACATTCATACAGAGTGATACATACTGGCTAAGTAGATGAAACGTTTTACAAAACTCGACGTGTGCTGCAAGGTATCTTGGAGCAAAAGCTTACGCCCCCCAGTTCCTTGGCTCCGCTCTGTTCATACTTGATATGCATGATAGCCAGTGAGGAAAGCCTCCTCTCGTCCATGGTACAGCCCATGTAATTGTTTAGCCTTCTCATTCTGCTGACTGAACGCTCGCACTCGCACAATGTCACGGGAAAAGTAGCCGCAATCTTGAGAAGGATGTACAGGTTAATAGGAAATCATCAGGATCACATGCTTTCAACAGCTGTTTTAAGGACGCAGTGCATTGATCAGCCGTAATTATCCTAGCTTGCACCTTCATCTTCCAATGCTCAAATTCGGCAAAGAAGAGCTGTGGCGAAGGCAGCTCATCTTTGTACAGATCTACTAAGTCAGTTAGCTACTGAGCAGTGATTTGGCTTTGCTGAATTACAGATGGCACTAACCCGAGCAGCTTACTGACCCTCACTGGCTATCATGCATATCAAGTGTGATATGCCTATCGATCTGGACAAAGTTGTCAATTTATTTGAAGGTCTCCTCCTGAGGAGCAAAGTTTGCTTTACGAAACGGAATAGTCCTGTTGTGAGTTGATAATTAAGTAGCCCATGTTGTGGCCCCAGTATATCCTAGTGACCTAGTATTATATGTAGTCAAAATAATCCCTCCATTGAAGATATTTTCTTAACAGGTGTTCCATATTTGACAAATGAAGTCTCGAAAGACGAAAGGCAGGGAGTACGATTTTGGGGGACCTAAGTGATACGTATTTAATACAAATTGACGTTTGAAGCTGCTTTCAGTACAGAGACAGCGGAGCTGGGGATCTGGGGGGCTTAAGCTTTTGCTCCGAGATACCTTGCCGCACATGTCAAGTTTTGTAAAACATTTTGTGTACTTACCTGGTATGTATCACTACATGTATGTATGGAAAACAAACTTTGACTGTTTTCAGTCCTCCATCATTGACCTGCATCGAACCCCTCAACCCCCCTCCTAAGCACCTGCATGAGCTAAAGGTTTCCTAGGAGATCTATTAAAGAGTTATTTAATAAAATTTAAAATATGAACTTTAGCATTTATGAATCTCTTGTGAATGATGGAATAATAAATGTGCTTAGTTATTTAATCGGTCAACTATATTAGGTCAAAGACCAGAGTATCAGAAATTTAATAATTTTTAGGGAACGCGTCCAAATATCGGCATCGGGTCATACCGATGCCGATCAATTGGGCACCGATTTTTTCCGATTCCATTGAAGGTCGGACCCGATTTTATCGGCACCGAATGAAAGGGAATCGGCAACGGGTCTCAAGTCTTTATCGGGCCAATTAACAAAGGTCATCAAAAATATCTGGCAGCTCAAATAACCCGTCACAAAAGCAAAAACAAAAGCGTGAATGTTGTTTTTTATAACCTTATCTTTCTTATAAATGTTGTTTGAACCGAAATTTAACGTCACGGTTTCGAACATTTGTTTGTATTTCCTATGACAGAGTATGAACAGAACATATTAAATTTGTGTATCAAAATGGGCATGAGAAGAAACAACAGGCATCTTTTGAGTGAAAGACGGCGCAATGTACATTGCAAGTGTACGATGTGATAATTTTAAAAAATGATAACTTTAAATAGCTTGAGCCTTTGCTAACCGGAAGCCAAAACGCTTGATTATAGGAATCTTTGGAGGAATAAACAGTTTAGGACTGTAAACGAAAAAAATAGAAGTCAGAACATCCACGACCAAAATGCAAATGTTGTTACCATGTTGTGTACTTTAACTGCTAAATTGCCACAGGAGAGAAGAGGACATCGTCTGAGAATCAAGCTGCAAGTTGTTTATTGGTTGCATATGAACTCAAAAAAGTGACTGATGGAGGAGTTCAACTGGTTTTCTCTTTCTCGATTGTCTTTTCGCTATTAAATTGAGTCGAACTTACCGGATGTATGCCAGTTTACTTTAGTTGAACACTCCGGTAAAATAGGTTCTGATTTTTGTCAAACAGTCAGCCACCTAGAGTCAAGCGCAATTTTTTCTAAGTGCTGAGAGTGGAAAGCAATTTCACGTGGCACCATGCTCAAGCTCACAGAACATACAGCAAAGTCGCTAAGCCATTCTGTCTTTGGTAGCTCCTGTATGAAACTTCGTTTCGTGTCTTCCATGACTCGCGAGTGTGGGAATCTTTCAGTTCCTGTTGCCAATTCCCTGGAGACAATCTGAGGCCGCAATCTAATTGGTCGGTATTTTTTGCCTCAGATGGCATTACACCTTGCGTTTAGGATCGTTGAATGAAAGACGCAAATTTTCGTAAAAGTTTATCCCGTGGTTTTACATTATCCATGGTTTTGCTCTCGCTCCGCTCGCTAGGAAACCCGTTGAGGTCTACTTGTAACAAGTCTATGAATCCAGCTGTGTTTCGAGAAAGTGAGTTCCGGTTGTGTTTTTGGATTGCATTGTTAGAAATTAGTACCGAGTAAAGAACACACTACTCAGTATGGCGTTTTGTTTGCTATATATCAACGAAGAACAGTGGTGTTTTGCATCGTAATATTTAACTCCTTTTAATTTTCATAGGATAAATTTAATGTTATGGAGCAGCGTGGTGTTTGCGATCGACTGAAGGAAATACCCGGGGAAATACCTCTGCAAAACGCTGAAAATCATGTGTATAGGCACGCATCAAATCAACAAACTCGAAACACAACATGCAGAAACATACAATATTGCTATTTGTTATGGAGTAGGAAAAAGGTACAGTCGATTGAAATTACTTTGAAGTGAAACGACTCTTTCATTATTTGGTTTCGTGACACGCTTCATTTTACATATCAGATAAAATAATATGACGATGACACATATGAACATCGGAATGTCAACCGGCTCCGATTGAATCGGCAAAGTTTTTATCGTAATCGGAAACGGCAACTGGTGCCTATAGATCGGTACCGATTCCGATCAATCGGAAAATTAGTTGGGTCCGTTTCCCATGATCGGGTTCCCTACCGATATTTGGACGCGTTCCCTTAATAATAATGATTTTTTATTTTATTAAATAAATAACAGAAACAATAATTAATATATGGTAATTGCAAAATACTACATCACATATCCATCGACCTCTTTTTTTTTGTTACATGATGAATAGTATTAACTTGAATGAGTAAAGAAAGGCAAGGACCAACTCTAGGGAATTACAGTCATTTTGCCCCCTGGTCATCTAGCCCTGGTTACTTAGCCCCCAGATCTTAAGTCATTTCGCCCCAAAGGATGAAGGCAGTGAGACCCATATTAAGTTACTTAGCCCCTTACTTTTCTAGAAATATTTAATCAGGGGGCTAAGTAACTGGGGCTAAATGACCAGGGGGCGAAATGACCGGTTACCACTCTAGATGTTCTTCTTGTAATGGACATGGTTCTTCTTGTCAATGGACATTGCTATGTCCATTGACAATCAAGAATCTGTTGTTTTGGTTCTACTGGACCTGTCTGCTGCTTTTGATCATTCTCTTCTCCTTGCTGGACTATCTACCCGTTTTGGCATTAATTTTGTCACCAGGCACTGGACTGGTTTCGTTCATATCTATCTGATCGCACCCAGTATGTCAGAATCCAAGATGTCTCTTCTGATGTGCATGCCTTACCTTATGTAGTACCTCAGGGTTCCATGTTAGGCCCCTTGCTGTATTCTTTGTACACTTCCCCCTTAGGTGACATTGCAAGATCTCATGGTCTATCTTATCACTTTTATGCTGATGATACACAGCTATATTTGTCTTTTGAAACGTCATCCCCTGAGGATTTGTCAACATGTAAATCTGCTCTTGAAGATTGTGTTAAAGATATTGACCTTTGGATATTAAATAACAAGCTGAAGCTGAACAGTGGGAAGACTGAAATTATAGTTTTTTCATCCTCCTATCGCCCACGTCCTGCGTTAAAAAACCTGGTGATTGCCTCTGACACTGTTGACTGTTCAACTACTGCTAAAAATATTAGGGTTATTTTTAATAACTCCCAATCGATGTTGCCGCACGTTACTGCTGTTTGCAAGTCTTCGTTTTTTCATTTACACAATATTTTGAAGATTCGCAAGTTTCTTTCTTATGATACATGTAAAACTCTAATTCATGCCTTTTTTACTGCAAGGATCGAGTATTGTAACTCATTGCTCTACGGTCAGCCTAAATGTATCTTGAAATTACAGAGTGTCCTAAATAGTGCTGCTAGGCTTATTCACCTTACTAGTAGATATGAACATGTTATGCCGTTGCTTATTCAACTTCGTTGGCTACCAATTGAACAAAGGATAACTTTCAAAATTGCAGTAATTTCATTTAAGGCACTTCATTGTGCTGCACCTAGCTATATCACTGATCTCATCAAGCCTTATACACCTGGTCGACTTCTTAGATCCTCTAATGAATTTTTACTTTCTACATCTAAATTTAATCTTAAAACTTATAGTAGCCGGTCTTTTACTATTGTGGCACCTTGTGTTTGGAATGCACTTCCATTCGAACTTAGATCTTGTAATTCCCTTTCTTCTTTTAAATCTAAGCTTAAAACTTGGCTTTTTAAAATTTGTTATGATGTTGTCGTATACAATGATGATGCTTTTATAGGATGACAATGTAGTTTGTAGTTTTGTAGGTTTAGGATTTTGTTGTTATTTTCATTATGTAAAGCGCTTTTGGACCATTGGGAATTAGCGCTCCATAAATATTGTATATTATTATATTACATTATCGTGTAGCCATAAATCCATTATACATATAGGTCTCATTATTTATGGTTTATACTTTTCCTAGTCAACTGTACTGTGAAGATTTACATTTTCCTGTTTTATCTTGTGCTTTTTCCCTGCACAGGCCTCCCACAAGATTGATAAAGTTTAGGAATTACATGCCAAAAGATGATTCATTAAAGGAGAAAAAAATACCGAATACAAAACCCCTTTCAGGTAAACAAGTTAAGCACTGCACTGTAACCTGTTGATCAAAGACAGTCTATATTAATTAACGGTAAATAAACAAACAAATAAATAAGTGTTGTCCATAGAAATTGAGCTGATTTTAGAGTCAATGAATGGGGATTTTTTTCCATACCTTTTTTGTAACAAGGTGCTGTACAAGTTGTCGTTTGTAGGATTGGGTGCCCCTGTATAGATTTTTATGATCAGTATGAAAATAAGAAGTATATGTTTTGTGCATGTTTTTAAATACAATTATGTCAGGGCACTTAAATAGTCAGTTTTACAGCTTGTAGGACTTCAGTATGTATTACTAGTCCAAGAGTCACTTTTAAGGCCTGACAAAAGTTAAATTATTGATTAATTGATTAAATCTGTCCTTTAGTTAATTAATAACTTGCTTTAGCACATTGCAATACCCAATAAATGTAATAATTTCACTTCATCAGATTAGCTTGCAAAACAGATCCAGATGAATTTATTAGAAAAATAAATAATTTGTCTTACAGTACTTCTGTAATAATATTTGAATTCTCCCAGAAAACTTCAGTTGCCCATTGGGCAAGTTATTAACAGGATTCACTAGCCCAATTGCAAAATCCATCAACCCCGGGCTATCAGACATGACTTTCTTTGCACACTGAATGTGTATTGTTTTACATTTTTAAACACAGTTGATGATGAAGTACAGGAGCACCTTGAAAAGGCCAAAGCTGAGAAAGTCATAGAAGAAGTGGTAAGAAATTTTAGGGAAATATGACAGAATGGCCAATACATTTTGAAAAAAATGCTTATTATTGCCAGAAACACAGATGTCAGACCTTTTTCAATCATAAATTATACTAGTAATGTACAGAGTATGAGATTGATCTCAAATTGCATCCAGTTGCATAAAAATTCAAATTTAGGTTTATTTTGTTTTGAAATCATCATTTACAACTCCAGAGTGGTCTAATCATAGCACAAAACTAAGGAAGGTATTATTCTAAGCAAAGTTTACTCTGGAGAAATTGCACAATTTCCATGTAACAGACCTTTTTTGTTGTAAAATTTGACATTCTGGAAATTCCACATGATTTACTCTTTAAATTAGAATGCTGTCAAATACCCTGTGATGAAGGTCACTTTGCATTTAACTTTCATTAAAGTTCTGTAGTTTGTTGAGTCCTCTTTAAAATTCAAGGCGTGGTCTCTTCTGTGTTGTCCATCCCCTTGGCCTAAGAGAGAAACTTTGATGAAGCTGAATTTGAAAAGCAGTAAGGTTTGTAAACCTAACAAAGTCAACTCCAGCCACACCTTCACTCAAAGGCCAGGTCACAAAATACACAACTGTTAAATGGGCTATTATATCTAACTTTCTTTCTATTCTCTACAGGATCTGGCTAACTTGGCACCAAGGAAACCTGACTGGTAAATTACCTTAGATTGCCTACATGTATTGCATGTCTTAAACCCAATGCCGTGTATTACACCACTTAGTGCATGGGGTAATGAAGCTTGCTAAGTACAGTATACTGGGCATTATGTAAATTATTCAAGTTATGCAAAAAATGTACTTGCAAAGTGACAGCTTGTGTGTTTCTGATGGTCGCATCTAGTAAATCTAGTCACAGCCAAATTAGTAATATAACCCTTACCACACTACTGATCATCATTTCAGTTTTTTTCCTCAAGGCTTGATTCTTTGTTTGGCATAATGTGATGGTGTGGCCTTACTCTCTTGTTACCTTATCTGTAGCAGTCAGAGATCTGGACTTGACTGCAGTTGAGTCTGTCAACTGTGTTCATGTTTATATTTGTGATAAATGATGAACCAATTAAGAGCAAATTAAGCATAATGAATGAACAGTAAAATGAGAAATACTGGGCCATTGTTAACCTCATTGTCTCTATGTGGCCAGTTATACTCAACAAAAGTGACAAGAATGAAGAAATGCTAGATGATATCTAAAAGGTAGTAATATTCTGTTTACTTGTAGGGACTTAAAGCGTGATGTTGCAAAGAAACTGGAAAAATTAGAAAAGAGGACACAGAAGGCAATAGTTGAACTCATACGTGAGTATCAAAATAGTATACTGTAGGTGTACATGTATATCTGGGAACATTGATAGACCTTCCTTCCCACATTAGACTTTAGTGGGCATACATAACGAAAGGAGGTCGAGTTTTAGACCTGGTGGACCTTTTCGTATGACTCAATTTATTTTTTCACACCAAGTCCGAGCCTCGAGTTGGTGTCTCCGTTCATGGAAATGTGGGAATGGTCTATTCTCTTGCTACGGTCTTGGACAAAAAAGTTAAGAATAGGCATTGCCATATCTTGTTTAGCCTGACCACAGATGTTTTCTCTTTTTCTTTCTTTTGTTCCACAAATTTGGCATACATGCATGCTCGTGAGAGAGAGCACAGAGGGTGAGAGCGAGCATGACTTTCCCTACCCCCACCTCCTTGTGCGAGTGGTCAATAAATTCCCCAGAGTTTTTATGTTCATATGTGCACCTGCTCCACCGTCTCTGAAGAGAAAATAGAGGGTCTCTGAACAGGCTAAATCTGGTTTTCAAATAAAGCTGTTTAAAGCACTGGCATGCAGTTACAAATACTTCCCCCTCCACCCCTTCCCCCCCTTCCAAAAAAAGAAACAATGTTGAAGTGCAGCTTGATCATTCCTACTCCCGACTAAACAACATTGACCAGGGTGGGTTGAGGGGAGGGGTCATAGCAGTACTAAATCCACGGAATGGGCATCCTGTGGGTAACAATGTGCAAAACTCTTAACACTTTTTGTCCAAAATTATAGTTTTAGCTTATTCATTTGTAAATTTGAATGACTAGTCAGCTACACATGCTTGTAAAGTTTAAGTTAAGCTGTATAAAGCATTGTGATTTTGCTTTACCTTTTGTATAAAAAGTTGTAGATGTGCTCATAATTATTTTTTATTTACCAGGAGACAGATTACAACAAGGAGAAGATCTTGCTGCAGCAGTAAATGCGGCTGCGTCGGAACAAAACTATGAAGCAGAGTGAAGATCGTAGCAACTGATATAACGATGCCGAAAACGTCTCTCAAGGTTTCATGAGTAACGTTTGCGACAGACGAACAAGCTTATAGCCAAAGTGGAGAGCGTCACATTGAATGAATGGGTTATAGACACCGACATTGATTCTTGTAAGCCTGGAGGCTCCGTTGGCTAAATTGTATTTAATATACTTTGTACAAAATGCAGAATATTGTACAGTAAGACTCGTCTAGAGAAACATTATGTCAGAAGGGACTGGATCTCTCACCGTACGTCTAGCATTATAATCAGTGACTTTAGAAGAGACTTTTACATTTTGACCTGTATATTATGACTTTTTTTCTGAACCTTATGGCAAATGCTTTTGCAGCAGTGAATCGTTACAAAAACTGCGAACTGCAAATTGACAAAAAGTCAAGCTTACTGACTTGAGGTACGTTTTAGCCTTGCTTGACTACTGAAGAAGCATCGTATGTTCTAATGTGGTTGTAGTAGGAAACAACTCGTGTTTTGAGAGAAACCTTTACGTCTGGAGATTTTTCTTGATTTAATAATATTTTCTTGCCCCGGTTAAAGGGACACTATCAGAGAAATTCTTGTCATGATGAGGTTGTTAATACTATGGGCGAGTGTTTTTCTCTTGCTTGAGCGACACTTAACAAAAAAGGGATAGTTTTAAAGTGAATATGTGAAGGGAAAACAAAAAATCTATATCAGCAATTTGTGCTAGAAATCATGATAAAACTTGAAAAGTATAGTCTGATTTTTTTCAAGTTGCAACCCCTTTCCTTGATTATTTCGTCCTTGACTTTTTAAGTACCAAATTTCGATTCAGTTGCGTCCTCCTTGCCGACGAAGTTCCGATATAACGCTTACTCTGATTGGTTGAAGAAGCGTGCTTTTGAGAGCATAAAACACGGAGCTAAAGCTGCCACGTCATTTGAACGCCAATTTTTTTTTCTGAAAATTAGAGAGAAATGCGTGGGGAATTTAAGGGACTCTTTATCATAAAACGAATAAAGAAGCCTTGACTGTGTTCTGCTCTGTTAGGAGAAACATTCGACCACGTCTCGTGTTTCCCCCTGCACTTTTTTCGTACTCTTGCCGCTTACTGCGTGTTTTAGTTACAAAAGAACAGAGCACAATCATTAAAACCATTAAACTCAGGCCTTAAACAACTGGCGTTCTTGTGATTTCAAACAGATGAGAGAGGAGAAGTCGTTACGTCACGTTGCCATGGTAGCAAAATTTCTGGATGACAACAAACCGAAAACATCACATATAAAGTGAATTTGCACTGTTTCAAATTTCGACGATCTTATTGCCTTTCTTTTAATTTGTCAAATGTTGACGAAATTTTCTGGGGTTAAATCCGTAAGGACCGCATCTAAGTTTAGAAAAAGAAAAAGGAAATTTTTGCGTAAAGCGGGTGCGTAAAATTAGGAAGTTTCACGTGGCAGCCCTGCAACGACGGCTAAGAAACATACAAAAAAGAGTGATGCACGTGCAGAGTTGTTGTTTTGCTAATATAAACCTATTGCTTTTTTCCAGTTCCCTTTGCCGTCGCCGGTGTCGTTGCTTAAGCTCCTTATTGTTGTGATCCACAAATTTTGTTAACATGGTAACGTGACGTCAAAAACTTCTCCTCTCTACTGAACACAAACAGTACGGAATATACATGACGTCATAAGCCTTTCTTTGATCCTTTATTCGTTCCCAGTCTCTCGGACATTTTTCAAGAGGAAAAAGCAGTATTAGACGGCCAAAAATCAAGGAGACGCATTTTTAACGTTCAGAATTGTTATTTAAACTTCTCTAAAGGATTAAAATCAGTTTTAAACTTTTCATGTCATATACACATTAAAGGGAAACCACTTTGGAGGTGGTATTATTTTTCAAATGCCGCGGTGTATATTGGCCTGCTTGCTTGCAAATCTATTAGCTCAGCCTTCTTAAGACCTTTTTCTCGGTTATCATTTAATGTAGGATATACACATCATGTTACCTTCTTCATTCACGAGTGCACCGAGCAGATTATGAACTATACTTTTAAAATGCGTATTAAGCATAATTTCACAAAGAAAATACAAAAGAATGCTAAATTTGTTTTTCCCACTCCAAACAAAAGTTTTCAAGTTCCACCAACTTTTGTATAAAATGTGACCACTTAAGGAACCTGACACAAGGCAAATCTGATTAACCTTACAAAGCTAGATTATCCTATTTTATAAGATTGTTTCACAAAACAACATTCAATATTATACCGGAAGGGACAAGGGGGGAAGTGTTTTCATTATCGGCAGGTGGCTGCGTATTGGGTTGTTTTCGTAGCTGTACCAAACATATTCAGGTGAACTATATATAGAAAAGATCTTAATTGCTCCTAGATTCCTCCCAAGACTTTTCAAAGGGGTTAAAAAAACAACACGCTGAATGCGTGTTTTAAAACTTCCAAAAAAAAAATCCCAAACGTTTTCGAGAAGAAATTTTGTTGTTATCGTCAGTCGTATTTTACCAGATTTAAACAAAATATGACATCCCTTTCTAGCCACCCTTTATTGACAGAGTATTTACAGTTTGAAACAAGGATAAATAATTGGCTAACTCGATGCGCAGAAACGTTGTCTGAGTGTATTTTTAACAGCTTCCCTTACTTCTCCGATCTTCCAACAGTACAAAATTGGATTTAAGGAAGAATTCAAAAACACGAAAGAGACTGTCAATTGTGCAGCATAGTAAACTGATGAATTCATCCCTTTTTGACCTATATAAATTTCTGCAACAAAATGAGGCAGATAACAAATTATCAGTGCCACTTGTACCCACAGTGCACTATAGACGCCCTTTCTGTATCGAGCTATGTTAAGTGGAATTGCCTGAGTCGGTTCTCGTGAAGCCTGGCTTGGAACTTGGATTTTGTAATGACGCAGTGTGAGGAAAATCTTGGTGTAAGAAAAGATTAAGGTAACTAGACAGAGACACGCCATTATGAAAAGATATCGGTTACTGACTGGGCAGATAACTGACAAAACCCATATAACGGCTACTGTTGTAACTGCCTTCTTCTTCGTTACAACTTCTTGGTATTTCAGCCCCAGCAACAACGCGAGAAGTCTATCCACGCTTATTGTAGTCAACGTTAACAAAGACGCCAAGCCCAAGATAGAGGCTGTAATGGATACTGCCGCAATTGCGTAGTAGCAGGTATTCCAGGTTTCGTTCAACACCGAACTCCAATATGCCACGGACAGGGGCTGTGCGATAACCCCAACACAGAGATCAGTTATCGCTAGATTACGATACAACAGTTTGGAGGTCGCTTGAAGTGAAGCTAATTCCTTGCGTAGAGCAACTAGAATCAGGGTGTTCCCCAGCAATGCAATGATGGATAGAAAACCATTCACCACGGGAATGAAGATGAGCTGGTCGTGAACTTCACCAGTGATTTTTACCGAACAGTGCAGTAGTGTGTTTGTTTCATGTGTTTGGTTATCTCTTTCGACAGTAAAATTTGTTAGTTCCGCCATCTGTCTGCAATGCAAGTACTTGACAATGAGCTGTACCTGAGCATATTTGGCTTCTTAACTTGATCACCAGTAGGTCAATATCCCATCTTGTTGTACTGTCAGTCAAACTGCAGGTACAGCTGGTATTGCGATTGTTATGATAAACGTAGCGCTTAGTTATACTCATACGTCATGCAGCAAAAAGAGATTTGCTGCTCTTGTAAACAGCAACACACGTTTCAAAGACCTCGATAGTTAAACGGTTTGAAACAAAAACTATTTTCTTGCGGGAAACTGCTGATTCCAAATAAATATCTTGCAAAGTTCGATCCAAATCCAAAATTAAGGATTAACAATTATTATTAAAAAATCATTGGATAATGCAATTCTAGAGCTCTGATTGGCTTAGCCATCATGGTGTGGGGCATTATACCATGCTCGCCAAATATGGTAGCTGTACGCGTCTGCTCAAAATTAAAAACAAGCTGAAAATCTGTTGTTTTTATAAATAAAGTCAGGAATAATTCTCGATATTTTGTGGGCGTTTTTTATAAAACAATCATTCCACTGGCGCTTGCATTGCTTGGATATGCGATGATTATAGTCAACTCAGCGCTACGCGCCTCGTTGGTCATCCACCATCTCATATCCAACGCACACTCGAGGAACAATTGTTAAAAAGGAGAACCCTTTTTTTTCGCCGAGTAATTGTTCAGTTTAACACTGATATTACACTGTCACTAAAATCGTTAGCCAGGTCTGAGTCAACTCTCCTAATCATTATTTTCTGTTTCTCCAAAGAAATCGTATTATGTGTTGTTGATTTTTTTCGCCTTTGGTCAAGGGAGAGAAACTAATAACGCTTCCTTAAAATTACTTGCCAGAGCGCTAGGTTTAGCATGCACCGTTGTGCACGCAAATGACAAGTGGCATCTCACTTATGCTGTATTGACGTAAAGTTACTTACGTCATCGCTTTTGAAATATGCATTTTGCTAGTTGTCTTATATTTTTCTGGGTTCGGGTGAAATAGTATTTTATTGGCGCTGTCAATAGAATCCAATGACTAAGCACTCTCCTGCCTTATTTCATTCGCTCATCTTCGTTAATCTGATATTCTACATGTGTAAATGTGGTTTGCATCATTAGCCACATTCGCATTCCCCATAATACACGTTGTTTACCCCCAAATTTTTATCTGTCGAATCTAAGCCAGCAAGCATCCATAAATGGATCGCTTTCTAGACAGTTTTCTCTTGACTGTGGCGTACCCCAGGGTTCTTGTCTGGGTCTCCTGTTGTTCGTCATTTACAATTCCCCAGTGTACGTCTAAGGTTTATCGAGCGTCCCCTCGCGCAAGGTCAATTGGGAGCTTAAGCAATGACGACAGCGACGGCAACGAGGACGTCAAAAAAGCAATAGGTTTTATTACGCAAAACAACAACTTTGCACGTGCATAACGCTTTTTTGTACATTTCTTTACCGTCCTTGCACGACTACGACGTGAAAGTGCCTAATTGCAAGTTTTATGGAGGACGTAAACAAGCGACGACGAATCTCTTTTTTTCTCTCTAAACTTGAGTGCGGTCCTCAAGAAATCAACTCCAGGGAAATTCGCCTACACTTGCCATTTTAAGCAAATTGGAATAAACGCGACAAAGATTGAAAAAACGGGAATTCATTTCAAAACTGACGTTTTCGCTGCCGTTGATGCTAAAGCTCCCTAATGTTACGTGGACGACTCGCGAGCTTAGTTTCAGAGCAGATGACGATAACACACAAGACGAGGCGCTACTACAGTAGGCCTCATATCATCCAAATATGTAAAGCCACTTTCTACCATATTCATGATGCGCGTCGAATTTCTAAATTTTTGTCTGAGGAATGCCTTCAGACATTAGTTCATGCTCATGCCCTCTAAATTAGATTATTGTAACTGTTTACTTCATGAGCTGCCCAAACATCAGATTTGTAAGTTCCGACGAGTCCAGAACACTGCAGCAAGACTTACGATGATGAACACTAGGAAGTGCGACACTAATGATAATAATAATTAATAATGGTAATTTACATTTATAGTGCGCAATTTTCCATAAAAATGTTAAAATGCGCATGACAGTCAGTTAAAAAGCAAGATCTAAAATTCAAATAGATAAATATAGTAGCGGCTTAAATTTACAAATGCACGATAAAATGTTACAAGGATAAAAAGTTACATACTAAAATACAAAACAAGATAGAAACTAGGTCATTAAAAATTCTTAACCAAATAAGTGAGTTTGAAGCTTAAATTAAAAACATCAACAGACTTGGCGCATCTGACATCGAATGGCAAAGCATTCCAGAGCTTCAGAGCAGCTCAGGATCTATCACCAAGTATTGCTTTGGATATGAAACTAGGATAACCACAGGCAGCCCAAGCGCACTATTTGTGGGTTCGGGCTTCAGAGGTCATTTGGTGGGAAATACTAGAATTATTAGTGTATTATCTGACGCCAAATAAATGCAAAAAGTCTTAAAGATATGAAGTCTTCTTGTTTGTCTATCGGTACTAGTAGCCCTTAAGATAACGAAAATCGATATTTCTTGCATTATTACATGCGATTCGGGCCCTTATTGATCGAATTTTATCACATGTATTCGAATCTACAACGCTAAGGGAAAAAAAATCATGATCACGCGAAATATTGATTCAAAAAGCTCCCTTACCTTTCGTTCATAGCCACTCTGTGTCCTACGGCTGGTTTAAACGCCGTTTAGTCGACTTTCTTTCCATCGAGTACTGAACACTATAAAAGAAGGGAAGGCTGGAGACCTTCCAATTGACCCTCGCCTCTCGAAGGCCAATAAATTCCAAACAAAGCGACCGATCTCCCTAAAATTGCCACCAGCCAGACCGAAGAGTGTACACCTACCCGTTCGACGAGCGCCAGGTTCTAAATTCGGCTGCATGAGCTCGAGGATCGTTGCATTTCGCAT